TTTACCGATATTGTGCGTGTACTGTATTATACATTTTTGTATTTGGCTTTACCGATATTGTGCGTGTACTGTATTATACATTTTTGTATTGGGCTTTACCGATATTGTGCGTGTACTGTATTATACATTTTTGCATTTGGGTTTACCGATATTGTGCGTGTACTGTATTATACATTTTTGTATTTGGCTTTACCGATATTGTGCGTGTACTGTATTATACATTTTTGTATTGGGCTTTACCGATATTGTGCGTGTACTGTATTATACATTTTTGTATTGGGCTTTACCGATATTGTGCGTGTACTGTATTATACATTTTTGTATTGGGCTTTACCGATATTGTGCGTGTACTGTATTATACAGTTTTGTATTGGGCTTTACCGATATTGTGCGTGTACTGTATTATACATTTTTGTATTGGGCTTTACCGATATTGTGCGTGTACTGTATTATGAATTTTTGTATTGGGCTTTACCGATATTGAGCGTGCTCTATATTATAATTTTTGTATTGGGCTTTCAAGATACTGTGCGTGCTCTGTATTATAATTTGCTATTGGTCCTTACCGATATTGTGCGCGCTCTGTATTATAATTTTTGTATTGGGCTTTACTCATATTGTGCGTGCACTAAATTGTTTTTATTTTATTTTTTTTTGGTGCACTGGGCTCTCTTTCTTTTCCTTCCTCCTTTTCGCGCTCTCTTCACTGTGTATAAAATTGTTAAAAAGAAGGGGGGAAAATCCACATTTCGTCCAAAAGAATAAAACGAATTTATTGCACTGACTGATGAAATGAAACTATGTTCCTTACACTAGTGTCAACTCTAGGCCTGACATTGTGTGCACCAGACCTCACCCGTGCACATTTCACAGCACGTCGATTGTTGGACGCAAATTAGTGTGCTGTTCACTTCTAGAAATATATTATCTGATGGAGTATATCCTCTCAGAACATAATTGTGTAATGCAGTGATGCTCAAGGAGGGGGGTTGGTGGGGACTGCTTAATAGCCGGGTAATTGCTGGAAGCTCGAAGGAGGTGAATTTTATCAGTGGAACTATTTAGCCGGATGTCTTTAACTACTAATATAAAAAGCACCTAGCAATCGGGTGTGTGTGTGGGGGGGGGGGGGGGGGGGGGGGAAGGTGTACTGAATACCAAAACATAGAGGGGAAACGCTTGAGTAGAATGAAAGTATAGAGATGCCTCCATATGGCGTATCTTCCCTTCAATGAAGAGATGTCTTTAACTACTAATATAAAAAGCACCTAGCAATCGGGTGTGTGTGTGGGGGGGGGGGAGGGGGGTGTGGAAGGTGTACTGAATACCAAAACATAGAGGTGAAACGCTTGAGTAGAATGACAGTATAGAGATGCCTCCATATGTCGTATCTTCCCTTCAATGAAGCGGAAAATGTGTTTGAATACGGTGTTAACATTAAAGATTATCAAACGTGTTTGAATACGGTGTTAAACATTAAAGAGTACGAATAATTAATCGTGCTGTGAACCTGCGTTGAATTTCGCATTAAAAATAAATTTTAAAATTTTCAAAATAATAATAACAACATTCATTTAGAGTGTGTGAATGGTTTATACGTTATTCTAATAAAACGCCGATTAAATAAGACGAAACAATGTGGATTTTACACTGCCATGGGTGTTTTTATTAAGCTAAATAAAACAAATGATTTTCGCATGAATACTAGGCTTTGATATTGCACACCATTGAAATAAAACCAAAACCATTACGGCTCAGACAATGTTAAACACAGCATCTCTTAAATGGTCCAGCGTGATTCTGTAACTAAGTTTAGTAACGTAATGGTGGTGCAAACACAAGCACATTGATGCTCGTAAACTAACGTTGTTGTTTTTTTTTTCGAGTTCGATAGCAAAAGATCTCCACCAGCCTGCACGCTGTGTCGGTGTTATCATAGTACGCATGATTTGTGTGTTTCGGTGCGAGTCGTGGGGTCGATGGATGGATCTTCGGGAAATGAGAGGGCAGGTGTGTTTGATTGTGTGCACATAGAGGTGAGCTGGAAGAAGAACTGGATAATTATTATACGGGAAAGGCCTCGGAAATCTCTGGTATGCGATTGAGATCTGGCACGCCGAGCAATTTTTTAGTGGTACGTAGAGACCAAAAAACGGACTAAAATGAATCTTAACTAAGGTAGACCTATGCTGTCCACAAGCTGCTTATAGAATATAGTTAAGAACACTTGGAAGATCTCCCAAATCCTTTCAGACACCGATTTCATCGCTAAACTTTTACGTCTATTACCTCGACTGACTATTGTATCATCTCTATAATGAATATGCATACAATATCTTGCACCGCGTCCCAACTATCTCTAAAATGAATATTCATCCCATAGCTTGTACCACGTCTCTACTACCGGTATCTCTAAAAATGAATATTCAGCCCATAGCTTGTACCACGTCTCTACTACCGGTATCTCTAAAAATGAATATTCAGCCCATAGCTTGTACCACGTCTCTACTATCTCTATAATGAAGATTCATCCCATAGCTTGTACCACGTCTCTACTATATCTATTATGAATATTCATCCCATAGCTTGTACCACGTCTCTACTATCTCTATAATGAATATGCATCCCATAGCTTGTACCACGTCTCTACTATCTCTATAATGAAGATTCATCCCATAGCTTGTACCACGTCTCTACTATCTCTATAATGAATATGCATCCCATAGCTTGTACCACGTCTCTACTATCTCTATAATGAAGATTCATCCCATAGCTTACATCACGTCTCCACTATCTCTATAATGAATATGCATCCCATAGCTTGTACCACGTCTCTACTTTCTCTATAATGAATATGCATCCCATAGCTTGTACCACGTTTCTACTATCTCTAAAATGAATATGCATCCCATAGCTTGTGCCACGTCTCTACTATCTCTATAATGAATATGCATCCCATAGCTTGTACCACGTCTCTACTATCTCTATAATGAATATGCATCCCATAGCTTGTACCACGTCTCTGCTATCTCTATAATGAATATGCATCCCATAGCTTGTACCACGTCTCTGCTATCTCTATAATGAATATGCATCCCATAGCTTACACCACGTCTCTACTATCTCTATAATAAATATGCACCCCATAGCTTGTACCAAGTCTCTACTACCGGTATCTCTAAAAAATGAATATGCATCCCATAGCTTGTACCACGTCTCTACTATTTCTATAATGAATATTCATCCCATAGCTTACACCACGTCTCTACTATCTCTATAATGAATATGCATCCCATAACTTACACCACGTCTCTACTATCTCTCTATAATGAATATTCATCCCATAGCTTGCACCACGTCTATATTATCTATATAACAAAAGAGACAGTCCTCTTGCACCACAACTGTTTTACGGTATTAATATAATAAAGAGACACCCCGTGGCTGGTGCCATGCCTAATGTCTTTACTTAATGTCTTCTATGCAATGATGGTCTGTGACGTATTTCATTGATTTGACGTGTATTATTTTTTTTTCTTTACAGATATAGGCAATTTAATGTTAGATGGTGAGGTCACAGCTGCTCTTGTCACCAACACGTGCATATCTCTAGGGTGTGAACCCACATTACATAGATCACATGTCCTTGTGTGTTAACACCATCTACTTAGATCATACCCCTAGGGTGTGTACCCACATTTCATAGTTCACATGTCTTTTTGTGTTAACACCATTTACTTAGATCACACCTCTAGGGTGTAATCCCCCTTTACCTAGTTAACATCTCAAGGTTTTAAACACACAACATCCTGTCTGCAGCTCAAGGGGTTAAATCCCAAACACCGGTACACATCTCTAAGGGTTTTAACCCACATCATTCAGTGTTCAGCACTTAGGTTTAAACCCCAAATACCAGTGCACAGCTTAGAGCAGCGGCTCTCAACCTGCGGGTAGCGACCCCTTTGGAGGGTGCGAACGACCCTTACACAGGGGTCGCCTAAGGACATCTAGGAAAACACTTATTTATGAAGTAGCAAAGAAAACAATTTTATGGTTGTGGGTCACCACATGAGGAACTGTATTAAAGGGTTGCCGCTTTAGGAAGGTTGAGAACCACTGTGCTAGAGAGTGATTAAATTGTGGACTTGTCGCAGGTCAGCTACCGGAATTTCATTTGTACTTTTGTGTAATCATTTGGTGTACCAGTATCAACATAATAACAACAAAAAGCACAAAGTTGACATGTCAATCCATGTTTTTTTTTAATTGTCCCCAAAGTTATATATAATACAGTTCATTACAAGAAGCGTCACTGAATGATTTGAATCAAAATCAAATCCATCTGTTTGTTACAAAAGAATCACAGAGTGATTGTGAGTACGTCTTTAAATAATTATCTAACAACCACTGCTCTGTGAAGCTAGTGGCAGCTTACATAGTGAAATGGTAGAATTGAAGAATCTAGAGATTTAAAAAAAAAAAAATTTTCTACTTTGTGCACTACAACAATGCCGGCCGATAAACCATTTAATGAATGATGTCACAGCCTGTCATCATCACGGATAGCTGAATCTATGACGTCACAGCCTGTTATCATCGTGGATAGCTGAATCTATGACGTCACAGCCTGTCATCATCATGGATAGCTGAATCTATGACGTCACAGCCTGTCATCATCGTGGATAGCTGAATCTATGACGTCACAGCCTGTCATCATCATGGATAGCTGAATCTATGATGTCACGGCCTGCCATCCTATGGATATCTGATCTATGACGTCACAGCCTGTCATCATCATGGATAGCTGAATCTATGATGTCACGGCCTACCATCCTATGGATATCTGATCTATGACGTCACAGCCTGTCATCATCATGGATATCTGGATCTATGATGCCACATCCTGTCATCCTCATGCATATCTGGATCTTTAATGTCACAGCCTGTCATCATCATGGATATCTGAAACTATGACATCACAGCCTGTCAACCTCATGGACATCTTCACATCCCATCATTGTACATAACGTCACATTTCATTTCTTACACTCGAGGCAATTCACCAATCCATCAAGGTGGTCATTTTAAATTAGGTTACCCTACTTGTGGCGTGGTGCAACAGCCACCATCTCCCCCCTTTTTCCCCTTTATTTCGATAGGATAATTCTAAACATTGAATTTCCCTGCATGCAGCTGCTGATGTGCATCCACAATGGCAAACAATTTTATTTCAAATTTCGGTAGAACAAGTTAATGTAATACTTTTCATTACATAAACAATCATGGGTTTTTGAATGGCATTTTAAAATGGAATGCTCATCAGAGAAGATAATTCAGGTTCAGTTTCGGGTTAACCGACTATTGTAAATACCAATACAATGCACGATTTATCTGAGGTAGAAGTACCTCCTCTTTCTGTCAGGTTGGACGCATGGCCGCAAGTGAGCGAAGATGTGGGCCTATAGATTAGAAATTAAAGGCAAAAAAATTAATTCAATTCATGATTGAGCCAGCTGTAGTTCTATTTCTGAAAACACGACCAGTGCGGGCAGTGGGTTCCAACCCCCACAATTTTACTCAAAGTTCATAAGGTCACATTTTTTTCCTTCTTCTACACTGTACAGAAAATAAAATTGTAGTGGGATTACATTGAACATAACTCAACTGCAATACAGGATTCATACAGTTGAAACATGGTGAGATTATAATAACATTGATATAAATAGTACAATAGCAGATATGCCATCTGTTACAATGTATCAGCAAAATTTATTTTAAAAAAAATCTCTTATATACAAGCATGATTTACACTAATGAATTCACAGACTCTTGACTTGTTCAGGACATGGTCATCTGATTGTCAGACTCTTGACTTGTTCAGGACATGGTCATCTGATTCATAGACTCTTGACGTGTTCAAGACATATCGTCTGTCTAAAGCAGTTAACAGAAAGAAAAAAAATTGGAAAGCTTAGATTCAGACGTGCTTGACCTCACTGTCTGAATTGAGAGAGAAGAGGAGAATCCTGCTGGCGTTAAAGTACAGACGTGATGAGTGGTACACCAGGGACCAGACGTAAGGGATGAAAAACTCTTCTGGGCTTTCTTCCTCGACATACTTGAACTTCAGCTCTGGGAATTTCTGGACAAGTTGAAGAAGAAAAAAAATATAGGGCATTGACATACGTCTGATGTAGTTGTATGAAGGCATTGTCATATGTCTGATGTAGATGTATGAAGGCATTGTCATATGACTGATGTAGTTGAACTGGCTGTCTTACTTAACACAGCAGTTTAACTTACTTTACAGTGTTTCAACTCTCATGGATCTCTTTGTTAGGTTAAATTCAATTGCTCAAAACTCACCTTGAGTTTTTCTTTCTTGAAGGCCATACTCCCCTCTTTGATTGTCTGCAGGACCTGGCTGGGGGACGGGTTGGCCCCGAGGTGCTCAAGTCTAGCTGAGAAGTAGGCCAACACCTGGGACAACAGACATGAACAAATCTATCAAGGTCTAAACAGGGGTCAGTGACCTTGGTAAAAAAAAAAATGAGACCGAGATCCTCTTTTTGCTCTCTCCACATGACCAAGTGGTCTCCTGCCAGGACAACACCGATCACAGTCACAATCTATAGTCATTTAATAAACTTTTCAATTGGAAACTTAAAAATTTGAAATTCATTTGAATAATTTGAAGTTTGTTTTAGGCAATAATAATTGAATGTGATCTTTGATTTAATTCCCGTTTTGTATTTCCTCTGCAGTCTCACAGCAACCATGCAGGTGGCACGATTCAGTTCCTTAATTTCATTGCCTTTACAATCTAGTTACAGCCCACTTGACAATGGGGGGGAGACAACGCGTGAACTTCCCATCAACTAAAATTACTTTTAAAAACATACATTCAAGTAACGCACTTTATACAATTTTCTGATTAGTGAACCCACTATTAGACCACAATTGCTTTCATACATAAGGAATTAATTACAATGGAGAATTCCAATCTAAAGCATGCTTCTATATTATTATGGTGATGTCAAAGTTTCAATATAACTTAAAGCGCAATTAATTTAGAAAAGAAAAACTAAAGATCTATGGTAAATAACATTTTTTTTAAAAAGTCTTGAGGTTAAGCCAATTAATCAGTCGTCGGACTGGGCTCACACAGTATGACTACTGAGCCAATTTTCAAATCTGATGTGTCTGCCATAAGGAAAACAAAATAAGGTGTCTGTTTTTCAAGATCATAATTATAATGACCTCTTCAGTGCATAGATAAAAAAATATCTTTCAAATCAGTGGTTCTCAATCTGTGGGTCATCTACCCCTGGAATTTTTTATCATATTTAGGGGCATGACTTTTGACAGACTGCAGAGTTCTTTTTATCCTGGGTGGGGGGGGGGGGGGGGGGGGGGGGGGTAGAAAATAAAAATACGTTTGTGAAAGGGGGGGTTGCCAAAACATGAGGAACTAACTTAAAGGGTCACTGCATTAGGAAGGTTAAGAACCACTGCTTTAAATACAATAACCTTTGAGTTTGTTGGTCATGGACTTGACAAAGAACATTTTTATCAACCCATGATTGCTAGGACCAGCCCCATCAATCATCCCAAGATTTCTAGAGCCAAATTATCTAATTATAAAAAGTGTTGGACTGCAAAAAAGCTTTAAAATAGATGAATAAGACACAAACAAATTGTGTCAATATAACAATAAAAGTTACGCTTTAAAAAAAATTATACAATATACACAAGTAAACGTTTCGGCACAAAAGCGTAACTTTCATTGTTATATTGACACAATTTTTTCGTGTCTTATTAATCTTTCTAGAGCCAACACCATTTATCACCTCATGATTGCTAAGGCCAGCCCTATCAACCATCCCACGATGGCTGGGGCCAGCCCCATCAATCATCCCATGACTGTGAAATATTAACATCTACACCAACTTACTGTGTCAACATTTTGTATGATATCTTGAAACGTTGGATGGCCCCTGAATGCTGTGAAAAGACTTCTTTGGTAGAGCAGGGAGTAGATCAGGTGTGGGTTGTGCTGCAGGCAGGAGCTCAGGCAAGAATTGATGATCTCAAGCACCATCCTCAGGACCTCCTCCAACACAGACAGGTCTTGGAGCTGTGCCACATAAATTAGAGATCAACACATTGCACTTTTGAAAACAAAATAGAGTGATGCATGAAACATCTAAAGCAAAGTGATGTTTCTGTTTCATTGGTCGGTAAATGTGGGACCTAAAAGCAGCAGGCACGGTAGACGGCACAATGGCATCTGAGGTCTAAGAGGGCATTTGAGGTCTAGGAGGGCATCTGAGGTCTAAGAGGGCATCTGAGGTCTAAGTGGGCACCAAAAATGGTCCAGCATTTCATGATCTTAAAAAAAAATGTAATTTCCTGATCCCTTACATCAAATTACTAGGATAGCTAAATTCAGGCTTGAACAAAGTTCACCAGCAGTACACACATTATTTACACTAAGCTCCCAGTATCCCTCTCAATCACACTTAACTCCAAAGTATCCATCTCATTTATACTTAAGTCAAAGATATCCATCTCATTTATGCTTAAGTCAAAGGTATCCATCTCATTTATGCTTAAGTCAAAGGTATTCATCTCATTTATGCTTAAGTCAAAGGTATCCATCTCATTTATGCTTAAGTCAAAGGTATGCATCTCATTTATGCTTAAGTCAAAGGTATCCATCTCATTTATGCTTAAGTCAAAGGTATCAATCTCAATTATGCTTAAGTCAAAGGTATCCATCTCAATTATGCTTAAGTCAAAGGTATCCATCTCATTTATGCTTAAGTCAAAGGTATCCATCTCATTTATGCTTAAGTCAAAGGTATCCATCTCATTTATGCTTTAGTCAAAGGTATCCATCTCATTTATGCTTTAGTCAAAGGTATCCATCTCATTTATGCTTAAGTCAAAGGTATCCATCTCATTTATGCGTAAGTCAAAGGTATCCATCTCATTTATGCTTAAGTCAAAGGTATCCATCTCATTTATGCTTAAGTCAAAGGTATCAATCTCATTTATGCTTAAGTCAAAGGTATCCATCTCATTTATGCTTAAGTCAAAGGTATCCATCTCATTTATGCTTAAGTCAAAGGTATCAATCTCATTTGCACTTAACTCAAAGGTATCCATCTCTTTTACACTAAACTCTACAACTATTTTATAACTCTATGGTATCCATCTCATTTACACTAATATAAACATCATGGGTCACTTCTGCAGCTGCATACATCTACCATTCTCTGTTGACTACGCATTTAAGCTAAACTCCACAATATCCATGTTAATACTAAACTCCACAATATCCACATTTATAGTAAACTCCACAATATCCACATGTACACTAAAATCCCTGAGTATCTACCACATTTACACTAAACTCCACAATATCCACATTTCTACTCAACTCCCCAGTATCCACCTGATTTACACTGAACTCCACAATATCCACATTTCTACTAAACTCCCCCAGTGTCCACCTGATTTACACTAAACTCCACAATATCCACATTTCTACTAAACTCCCCAGTGTCCACCTCATGTACACACTTAACTTACCAGGACAAAGCTCATTAAAAAATGTGTACAAAAGCTCATAAAAATGTGTACAAAAGCTCACTACATGCATGGACCACAACTAGATCATGCTAGAATTGTCCTTACATAATCCTGTTGTTCATTGTCAATCTGCTCGTCTGTGTGTTCGCTGGTCTGGCTGTTCATGGCCGACTCACGAATCTGATCTACGAGCCTCAAATGCCGTTTGCACAGCTGGGAAAAGAGGCTGTTGAGGAATGAAGGAGGGGACATGTGTGAGCCCGTTTGAATCTCATCATTTGGTTACAATTTTCAATGCAGGTAGGGAGTCATGGTAAAATTTTGAGTTTATTCTTGGTTTTCGACATTCACATTTTACAAGATTACACCATGCATAGCCTTGATTTGTCATTAAATGTGGAACATGCTGTTGTGGACTCGTGACGTACAAACTTATCAACCACCATGCTTTGTTAATTCAATTTATATGTTGATACATATTTTTAGAAATTTAATTAAAAAATTTTTCATTAAATCCACATTACAATGCCGTTCTTTAAAAAAAAAATCGACTACATCATTCAATGCTTCAGCATTAGTTAGCCTATTTATGTATGAATATTATACTTTTAGTATTAGTGTGTAAATTGGCAGTAAACTTTTTTTGTTTTTTTTTTAAATGTTTTAAAAACTTAATAATCTGTGTGTATGGGCAGTTTACAGTTTATTTAGCAGCACTCGCACACATGTTACATAGACCAGCGGTTCTCAGGATGTGGGTCGCGACCCCTGGGTGGGGGTCCGCGCGACCCCTGGGTGGGGGTCCGCACGACCCTTTACCAGGGATCCCCTGAGACCATCAGAAAACACAAATACTCTACAGTTATGACGTAGCAACAAAAATAATTTTGTGGTTGGATGGGAACTGCATTGAAGGGTCACGACTTTATGAAGATTGAGAACCACTGACATAGACAGTCACACCTTTCCTAAAATCAATATCAAAAGCTAAAACCCAGGAACAATGTTAAATGTTTTGAGAAATAAAATCTAACATTGGTCAATATCTAATATTTAATAATAGAGGGGCGAAAAAAGACAAACAGCAGGTGTTAATATAAATAATCAACAATGTTTTCATAAGAATTAATTTCATTTGACACTAAGCAGAACCAGTCCCAGCCACCCTCAAGTCACCAGAGCGGTTCTTTGCTATTTGACAAACATTCACCAGTTTAAAAAAAAAACAAAAAAAAAACAATACTTCTTGAGATCAATAACACTTTCTTAAGGATGAGCTAATAATAAATCTTTATACATAAGAATATAGGTCTGCCCTTTCGTCTCTGTTTAAAGTACGGTGGGCGCACATTAACTACGGCACTCACTTGATAATCTTCTGTGCCACAAACAAGTTGAGGTTTGTGAACTGGGAGGACATGTTGGCCAGGGCGGCCAGGCAGTTAGTGTGCAGATATTTGTCCTAGAGGGGAGCAAAGAGAGTTCAGAAGAAAATGTATTTAACAGAACATTAGAGAGGGAGGTATGTGACAAGACATATAGAACCAAGGGCTCATTGACAACTCCATGCATGGTGGGCCACAGGGACTTGATAGACAGACAGTAGGCAGGAATTTACAACAGATCTTATTTATTCTTTTGAACATATTTTAACAAATTTTAAAAAAAAATAAAAAAAAAAAATAAAAAAAAAAAAATCAACCAAATAAACTCCATGCATGGTGGGCCACAGGGACTTGATAGACATACAGTAGGCAGGAATTTACAACAGATCTTATTTATTCTTTTAAACATATTTTAACAAATTTTAAAAAAAAAAAAAAAAAAAAAATAAAAAAAAAAAATCAACCAAATATCGGCTCACCCTCATCCTGGTCATGTTGTACTGGATGGTTCTGATCACAACCAAAATCAGCAGGCCACCGAGAGTTACCTCCGAGAGTTGTCTTTCTTTGTACCACTGAACATTTTTCACAGTCTGCTTGTAACAGATTTTAAAAAAAAAGATTTGATGACTCATTTGACTGAAGATAAATCTTATTTTAAATAATACATTTTATAAAATCAGTTGAAAACAAAACAAATTATTTTTAAGGGCCTCTCAAACTAGTGGTCGGCAGACTGATATGGGTCCACAAAAGTGTTTCTCAAACTGGTGTTCTGCACCATGGCATGGATCCACAAAAGTGCTTCTCAAACTAGTAGTCTGCAGACTAATAAGGGTCCACAAAAGTGCTTCTCGAACTAGTAGTCTGCAGACTGGCATGTGTCCACAAAAGATGCTAAAGACAAACCAGCTTGTAAATGAATAAACAGATTCCTGCCCAAATGTCACACTGAAGAGTTTGAGACTCCCTGCTCTAGGAGACCATGATTAAAAAAAACAGAAACAATCCCATTGATGTGTGCGCTGTCACCAACTCACTATTTCATGGACTGCCTTGTTGAAGACTTCATCCTCACTGAGCACCAGCAGGATGATGAGCCCCATGTAGATGTGATGGGAGCTTTTCTCTTGTGTGTGGTACAGAATCTGTAGGAGTGGCATCACCTGAGGGGGGTCAAACAATAAACTTTTTATGTTTCTCACAGCAGTATTTTACTGCACGGTTCAGTTTGGCAAAGATTCAAATTTTTCTTCAAAAGCTCAGTGTTCAGAGCAATTAAAATTCATGTTGTTTCGAAGATGTGTCATCTCTCACTGTGTTAAAATTCATGTTGTTTTGAAGATGTGTCATCTCTCACTGTGTTAAAATTCATGTTGTTTTGAAGATGTGTCATCTCTCACTGTGTTTCAAAATGAAGGAAAGTTGCAGATCAGAATAAATTACATCCCACCAGCATAATTACAGGCACCATATATATGTACACTGGGTGCTGGGTGGCCGAGTGGTCTAAACTGAGCAAATCTCAAGTTGGTGGTCTGGAGTTCAATTCCAGCCAGGGCAAAAACACCACCAGCACCCCGGGTAGATGGGACTCGTTAACCTTGGACGGCAACTCATCTAAGAGAAGGAAACTCTGAAATCAAACCCGGAGCTGCAGTCACTGGTGCCAAGCTGTATCATCCAATGATGTTCCCTTGGGTTACCCAGCGGTGTGGAGAGAGGCGATTTGCTGTACCAGCTTATAATCCTTTAAGTATAATAATCCCAGGCTATGTGGATTTCGTCCTACGAAGCCCACTCCATTGTCACATTGTGACAGACGGATGCCAACAAAAAAAACAAAAAAAAACAACTAAAAAAAACATATGTACAGTATATATGTATGAAAAAAGTAACACATCAGGATATTTATATTAGTTCTTAAAAAAAATGTCCCCATTTCAAACCAGCATATTTATACTTTTTTCAAGAAAACTCACTTTAGGTATCATACCAGCACATTTATATATTTAAAAAAAAAAAAAATTCACATAATGCAATCATTTACTAGGCTTGTGACAGACGGATGCCAACAAAAAAAACAACTAAAAAAAACATATGTACAGTATATATGTATGAAAAAAGTAACACATCAGGATATTTATATTAGTTCTTAAAAAAAATGTCCCCATTTCAAACCAGCATATTTATACTTTATTCAAGAAAACTCACTTTAGGTATCATACCTGCACATTTATATATTTAAAAAAAAAAAAAATTCACATAATGCAATCATTTACTAGGCTTGAATGCGGTCCTTTAATTATTATAATGCAATCATACCAGCATATCTGTATTTGTTCTGGGAAAAGTCAAATGTAACATACTAATACTAGTATATCTATATTTGTTCTGGAAAAATCAAATGTATCATACCAGCATATCTATATTATTTGTTATAGAAAAAATCAATGTATCATACCAGCATATCTATATTTGTTCTGGAAAGGATGAACGCCTTCATGTTAGCATTCTGGTGTAAAAGCAGGTAGAGTAACAAGGTCGTCTGATCGTCATGTAATGTCTGGCACAGTACGTTGTAGACTTTGCTCATGTCAAGTTTGAAGGTTGATGCAATGTGGGTAGGTGCATGAGCACCAGGCTCTGTGAAAAAGCAACAACATTTTATGGGGACATTTGGCTCCAACAGCAATAGTTTAGACGGGCGTAAGGCTTAACAACAGTTTATAGTGATGTATGTTAACACAGCAATACAGCGGCACCTCTCATTACGAGTTTAATTCATTCAACATTCTTACTCGTTAAGCGAAACACTCGTTAAATGTAACAATTTTTCCCATACAAATCAATGTAAAATCTGATGTGTTCCATGCTGAAAAAATACTAATTTTTAAAAAAAATTTCGTGTCTTGGCGACCCTCTAGCAACCTCATTATTTCCGTTGCTACTTCATAGCTGTAAGAATATGTGTTTTCAGATAGTCTAAGGCGACCCCTGGGAAAGGGCCACGCTACCCCCAAAGGGGTCACGACCCACAGATTGAGAACCGCTGGACTAATGTATCGGCGCGGAAGCCCCAGCTCACAAATGAATGTCAGGAAAAAGAGACTTGCCCTTTCTGCGTAACTCGTTATGCGACATATCGCTCGTTAAGGGAGCAACTTCTTCATATTTTTTTTTTGCTCGTTATGCGAATTACTCATTATGAGAGGTGCTCGTTATGAGAGGTTCCACTGTACGTCATAATGATATATAGCCACACAGCAAAAGTTCATAGTGATATATGGCGATGCAACAACATTGAAACAAATTTATTACATTATCAAAAAGGCATAACACCATCAACTAACCCTGTGAATCTGTGAATGAAAATAAGGCCTGTCTGTAAGGGTTCGGGACACTCTTGTCACAGGTGCAATGATTGGCCAGCACCAGGATGAACAGCAGGCTCTGATTGGCCAAGAGAGTTTCTGATTGTTCATCTTCTGGCTTCTTACCCTTGCTTGCCATTCCAAGTGTGACAACCGACCATAAACTTGCTGTCATAAGAAAAATTGATATGATGAACTAACCATCTGATACACTGAAAGTCAGTTTTACTCATTTAACTTAATTCACACACACATACACACACAAATTATGACATCATTCTTTACTCTGATGCTCTGTAAAGAACTTATTTCATTCAATAGTTTTAACAACATAGGTTAATTTTTACGTGGTTAATATTTATTGGAGATTAATCAAGAGAATGTAACTGGGAAAAACATAAACATTTTATGATAATATTTTAAGAAAATAAAAGTGAAATAAAATTCTAAAATATCATTCTAATATGTTATTTAGTTTTGGAGCAGTGATGGTTGGTTTATAGCATAAGTAAAATTAGCTGTGTTGAGTGAGCTCCCTTTGTACCTTAAAATCAAATACAGTGAAGGACATGGGACAAAAAAAACAAATTTGAAAATTAACATCTTGAATAAGACAAAATAATAATTTGCCAGCAATTTAATTTGAGTTGTTTTGTTTTTTTAAATAAAAAAAAGCTAATATCAATTCAAATAACTGGTTATTAATTGCCTAATAACCCAGCTTCTTACAAGCCAGGGCAGCAGTGGCGTTGTATATGAAGCTTCCATCCTCCGAGTGTCCCTTGTACAGCTCTGGTGGGCATTTCTCTTGGTTCAGGTAGTTCCACATCAGAGCTTTGATCAGGAATGGTGCATGGATTGCACTGAAATGGACAAGTGCATCAGACATGTAATGTAATAAAAAGAAGAAAGTTATTTTAAAATAAGGATATTTCATTGAGTGATAACAGCTAACAGTAATGTGTGGTAACATTTCATTAAGTGGTTTCGCTGTGTGCCTTTATAAAAGACAGTCAATTGGGGGGGGGGGATGGAACAATAAAGAAATTGTGAATGAACACCTTAGCCAACATCCACAATAAAAACATACACAATCCACAGTAAAAGCATACACAATCCTGTTAAAACATACACAGTCCACAGTAAAAGCATAGACGATCCAGTTAAAACATAAACAGTCCACAGTAATAAGATCCACATCATTTACACCTTGCCATCATTTTTCACGGGTAAAAAAAAAATAAACTCTCTAATAAAACTTGTTAAGACAACTAAAACCAAACCACTAAACTGCCTGTTACCACTTTCCCTGCATAAGGATCCTGTAGACAGCAAACTGGCTGGCAGGCTGCGTGTGAAACATTTGGATGGACAACAGAACCAGGAGGGTGTTCAACGTTTCAAGGTGGAGGGCATAGGTGAAATTCCTGGGGGTAAAACATTTCATCTTCATCATTTGAAATACAGTACGTTTATTGATTATGTTTAAAGAAATTGTCAAAAGAGAATATGCATTTAATAATATTGGGCTGGAGATAGTTTTTTTTAATTTTAAAGACAGATAAAGTGGATGGATTGATGGACAATTCTGAGCTAGACCAATGGTTCCTAAACTTTAATGTTTAGGAGATCTCTCTCTCTTTCTTTTCCACTCAATTTTTTGGAGGACCCCATTTCCACCCATTCGAGTAACATTAAAGTTAGGTATTTTAATTCACACCAGGATCCCAATGCCACCACTTGGTGCAATACAAAAGTTTAGATACTTGAATTCATATTAACAAATTTTTCTAGAAGACCCTGAAATAAGGTTAAGGCTGAGCCCAACAGATCTGATGTTAGAATTGTTTAAAAGCGATTGTGGAGTTTGTAAGACGTACAGAACAGGGACATCAACAATGAGTTCAACCAGGGCATTAATAAACTCTTCCACTTGCGAGCCGATTTCAGCCGTGTCCTGAGCAATGCTCCCTGCAGACAAGAATTAGTAAAGCTGTAGTCATGGGCCTGGCCTTATCAATGACATCTTAGGCTAATTTTTTTTTTTTTTAATTTCATGAAAAGTAATTTGAAAATTATTAGCATAGAGGCTTGAAATATTTGAAAATGGTAGGGTAAAACTCAAATGAAACACTTCAAATTGTAATATATTTTAAAGAGCTAGCTTAGTTATGACTTTTGTTTTATTACGAGAAGAGTTAAGTCTTTGCAAATACCGTCTGATTCAGGAGGGAGGCAATCAAACTGGTGCAACAGCAACTCCTCACTGAGATGTTCCACAAAGTATTTACATAAACTTCTTATAATAAATAGTGCATTATACGTCTGCCAGATGAAAATATTACTGAAAAAAAAAAATAGCAAGAAATAATGTATGTTACTTAGCATCACACAATAACCAATTATTTAAATTTCTGGTGAAAATACAATTTCATTAATTTGAATGCAAAATTATTGTCCTGTATTTTGAATAAAGCTTCAACACATCTTGTTTTACTATTTCATTCACATAGCTTGCATGCAGTCCTTCAATTGTTATCTATTTTTTTATACCTACACTTTATTGCCTTATTGAGTACAGGCCATATGTTAAATCTTATTGTTTAAAACAAATGCAATACTTAGAATAAGTTGATATCACTTATAAGTCTGGCGTTAATGAGATTGATGCGTTCTTCCTCCATCCACTTCTACCCCAGAGGTGGATGCATCTAAATGAACTGCAAATAAATTAGCCCTTCAACCAATCAGTCAGTGTCACAACAGAATTCACTAACGTCTCTATTAGTATGATTACTCACTCTTCACATTGTGCTGAAGCCTTGAGCTCTGACGCTCTAATGAGGAAATTGTATATGAGAGATCTTAAATTGCCCGTGTGGCAATTGTTCAGAGCAAAGTTTCTGGCGACAACAGCTGTGGACTCTTCAAGCAATCTTGCATCTGAGCTAAACAAGGTAGACGTGACAAAATATAGTGATTATTACATAAATTATGTGATCTGCATATGTCAAAATAAGCTACATGTACATAAAAGAGCTCCTGTACATATAGCTACCTGTACATACAAATACGCTACCTCTACTCACCAAAGTGAATTGGGGATGAGTATATGTAAGGTTTTTAGTGCATTTTTAAAGCATTAAAATATATTTTAAATTATAATATAAATATTGACAAGAGAATCAGATAATTGTAATATTTTGTTACAAATGATTATATTTTGTTTAAAATCTTGTTTATCTGAAAACCAACTTATATTTTCATGGCATTCTTATGAAATCAATGACAATAAATTAATCCAATTCTTTGTTTTAAAATATAACAACAGAAACATATGTATCTTTTTTTCCTGATCATTAACCAAGAAAAAAAACAGTTTGGAATATGTTTACGTTGTCTATAACTTTTATTTCAATTTTAAAACAATAACTGATGACTAAGTGAAATCATAAATTATTTTTTGGTCTGAACTAAAATAGCAAAATGTTAAATTAGAGCTAGACTTCCAATTATTAATTTATAGAAGTGTAAATAACCAATATTGGGTTAATTTCTAGCCTCAGAATAATATTTACATGGTTTTTGGGTTTCAATAATGACATCAATGTTAAAATATGTGCAATTTTTTCTTTCATAGATTTTATAATAAAAAGCATTTGCTAAGACCTATATGAAAAGTCTCCAAATCTGTTAAACTCTTCACCCCCCCCCCTCCCCCCCACAACATCGAATTATATGTTTAGTATTGCATGGATAGCCCTTTGATGTACTTTAATTTTTAAATAGTAAATTTTATTGAAACTACTCAAGCTAAGTGACATAAATTAAACTGTGCCCAGCAAGACCGTCTCACCTGTTCACAGGTATCTGAAAGGAGAATGATAATAGTTGATTCCAAAATGGATCCATAGGATCTATGGCTTCTTGACTTGAAAGACGTTTCAAGTACTCATTGCTCGGCAGCTCACTGAGACTGCTGCTTGTAGCACCCATCTTGTTTTATTTTTGTCTACATGGAACATATGGGGAAAAAAAACTTTTGACTTTGGATATAAATAGTTCTTCAAGTTTCAAAAGATTCCAACAACCCAATCACATTATCTATTGAATTATATTTTCTTTGAAACTATCCAAATCCTGCATGTCTTAAATATTATTTAGTTGGGCCTATAACTCACTGCTACACAAACAAATAATAACAAAACTTAACTAATCTTATGGTTTAGCACAGCAGGCTGAATTCAAGACATGATCAAAGTGGTTAGGCCTGTTGATTTCGAAATTTACTAATTGAAGATAAAATACACTTTTCACTTTGACCTTCATAGGCCTAAACCTTAAGTATAGTACCGGGTACCTACTTACTTCTTAAGTAGGAATTACTTATAGCTAGGATATGGAAGGTGAGCTTCAGATAGTAATCAGTGCCTGTTTGGCTTAAAGGCAATGTAGACATGTGCCCTGGGGACCAACACTATCTTTGATATCTACCCACATAACAAGTTTAAAACATATGGCAAGAAAAGAAAATGTTAGGGAAACAACAATTTGTAAACTTTTCCTAAGCTATTTACCAGGCACTGATACTTTTTTTTTATGAGAGTTGAGTAAGGATTAAAAGAAATAAGCAGACAATTTTGGCTATTTGGTTCAGTGAATAAGCCACCAGAAATTTAAAAGAGAAGAATGTCTCATATTTCAGTCATGACATTTAACAAAAGTTTGACTTGAGCTGTAACTCAAATTGATGGATATGGTAATACATTTTCCAGGGGGTGGAGGGGGGGGGTGGTTGTTTCATATTTGATCGCAAATAGCTCTCAATATGAGTTTCATTTTTGAAAAGCTCCTTCTTACATGAAGCGACAGATACACAGATCATGAGAGATAATTGTAGGCTTAATGAAAGGGTTGAGAGAGATAATGGAAAGAAATAGTATGAAACATTTCCAAAGCTTTTTGAGCTGTTAATCGTTTAGGAAATTACTCACACGACTAGGGTCTAGGGTAGCCATAGCACAGTATCGATAAAGAAGAAAAACAGCGAAAAAAAATAAAATAATGATTCAAATGACAACAAATGAACCCTGTTTTCGCACATGAACAATGAAGTACCACTCTCCTATGTAAAATTCTTATTAAAAAATTAGCTCCTAAAAAGTAAAACCAAGAAATAGAAAAGAAATAACCATGATATTGAAACAATGCACAGCGCGTTGGTCCGTGATTCAACAGCAAAAGCGTTAAAAGAGCAATATATGAATGTAATTTACAAAGAAGATTAATGCTTGTGCTTTTTTTTTTCTGAAGTGAAAGCAGCTAAATCACGACCCGCCATGAGCGTCCCAAATTGAAGTTTCACCACTGATCTTATAGAAAAACGCACTAGACACCCTGCTCTTGTGGCAACATTTTTTGGAAACTCTGTTCTGGTGGCATCTGCTCTTGTATTAAACTTAGACATGTTATGAAACCAACTCCAGCGAGCTCTGTCAAATTTTGAAAGTTGTCCAGGGTTTCCAACTGTCAGCAAATTTACAAATGAAAAAAAAAATTCCATACTCATACAAATTAGACCTAAAAAATTCAACTAAAATGACTTTTCCATAAATATCTGTGGGATCTTTAGTTTTCCATAAAACAATGAGAGCTGAACAAACATATTTTCAAGTTTACTTTAACCTTTTATACTCATAATAAGCCATAATTTTGAGAAAATTTTGGATCCTGGATTATCCAGTGGATAGTTTATTCTGAAAAAAAATATTCATATTTTAATTTAATGATTATTATCGGCATCAAGTATAAAATAATATAGTATTGATGACTAGTCTAATATTTAATTAAATTAATTGAAACTTTGGTATTTCTCATTTGAGACATATCTAACAAAATAAAAGTATAATATTGCATACATTCAATCAATCATTGAAAATCCACGTAATTTTTGATTATGCATAGTCGCCCTTGTTGAGCCTTTTATATTTTAAGTTTACCTTTGACAATAGAGAGCTCTATAAATTTAGACCACAATTTATTAAAAACATGAATCGTTATTTACAAAAAAAAAATTATATGAAGAGTAAATTATTTGTTATTTGAATGTAATATTATTATTGTTTAAAATTTTATGATTAAATCAATTAATTTGTTGTTTTTTTCGTTTCATTATTTGAAGTTATTTAACGCATTTAAATATTCCTTTTCATAACTATTAAACATAATAATAATAAAATTATATAATATCCTCTCACCCCAACTCTCCCTGCAGAACTGCAGATTCCTTCATTTGACCTCCCATCTAACCCCTTTCTCTTTTTCTCTTTCTCTCTCTCTCTCTTTCTCACTTTTTTTCTCCCCACTCTCTCTCATTGCGCACTCACTAGCAAGTATACCAAAACGAAACATGTTAGTTTTAGTTGACAAGTTATCTAAAAATAGTGGACTGCGTCAATCTTAAGGTTTATCAGCTGGTCCAGATTCTTCGAACAAGGCTTAATTGGGTGGGAGGGGGGGGGGGGACTTCATTCTGTAATTTGATTTTGATTTAGGCATTTTCTCCTGAAAACATGGCTTCATGGGAATTACAGTCGCAGCCTACTTAAGCTTTGTGGGCATTAAAAGCTACATGGGTATTGCATTTTATATCTACATTATAGCCCATTGGGCCTTAAAGGCTACATGGCATTGTACATTATATGAAGGGTTGTGCCGGAATCCGGTCCAGAATCCGGTTCCGCCGGATTTTGCACTATCCGGTGAAATCCGGTTCCGCCGGATTTACATGTATCCGGAACAATATACCGGATTTCGGAATTTGCCAGATTTTGTGACTCACCGGATCATAATCTGAAATAAAAGTAATTCTCTTTCCCGAATTCCACACGATCACGATACATTAATCGATTGTTTCGAGCGTTGAGCTTGTTTAATGTTTAATATTCCGTACATACCAGAGGCTAGAGTCAGCACCGCTAATAGTGGCCAATAGTGTAGGGACTTTGATAAGAAAATTTAAACTTTTTGTAAAAATAAACCAATGGCATAGTTGAAAAGATGTAATTTTTTAAAGAATTATAACACCAAAATCATATTTTTAGCTGTTGTAGTTTTAAAGTTATGAATTTTTAAAGTACGACTTGGTTTGTCATTTTTTAACATGGACTGCATCTCCACATTCTGTGATCTCATTCCACCAATCCCGTCATGCGCAATGACTATATAGTTTATATAAGGCAACGCATTCCCTGCCTTATCACTAAAATACTGTTTAGACTTAGTTTAAACTTTCAACTTTGGCACATGAATAATTAATTAAAGCTTTCCCTGACCAATGGTTTAATAGTTTTTGCACACGGCAAACTCTTATGAATGAAACTCTGAGGTAGTACTACGATACAGTTATGCAAGTGGCTGTGAATGGTTGCCAATGACAACGTGTTGCACACGGTAAATTCTGATCATTTATAATATGGATTCTACCGGGTTGTTAAAGCTCAAATTAAAACATTCCAGTTTAAATGTCTTTAAATGCATTCTGAAACACAAGTTATCAATTATTTTGATGTAAATAGTGATAATAAATTAATATTTCCTAAGTATCGTCAACTTCCGCCATTAAAAAGGGGGGCGTGGCCAACCCCATGGCGAAATTAGGTTGAGCGAGCTGCATAACCTGCTGCGAACGCGTAGAAACATGGCGTCTCTCGTAAGACACTTATCCAAATGGAACGGAACTCAAATATATATCGAAAGTACTAATTTAATAATAAATAGACACACACATCGGAAAATTAAAAACTCGGATTTTTTGGCGCCGATTGCGAATTCCCATACACAAAAAGTAGTAGTCCACCTTGACTTACCGAAGTATCTACCAATAGTACCAAAATCCGGAATCCGGGAGAAACCGGAATCCGGATTATTCCGGAATCCGGATTATTCCGGAATCCGGATCCGATTCCGGATCCGGCGGATTTCGCATAAGAAAATCCGGATCCGGTTGGAAAAAACGGATCCGGCACACCCCTAATTATATGGCATTGAAGTCTAATTGGGTATTAGAGGTAGGGTATGGGTTACGGAGTAGAGAGAATATGGTTTAGGGAGCAATGTTCCCTCTAAGGTTAGTTGGTTTATGTGCAAAATCATATTGTTGTGTGCACGTTTTTACAGCACAAATTTTTTTGAGTGCAAAATTTTACAGCCCACAAACACAAACACATATTTACATGGAAATTTGCTGCGCTGTACTCAAAACTGCTGCGCAGCCGCGCAGCTTAAAGGGAACATTGTTAGGGAGTAGAGAGAATGTGGGTTAGGGAGTAGAGAAAATGTGGGTTAGGGAGTAGAGAGAATATGGGTTAGGGATACAGAGAATATGGGTTAGGGAGTAGAGAGAATATGGGTAAGGGATAGAGCGAATATGGTTTAGGGATAGAGCGAATATGGGTTAGGGAGTAGAGAAAATATGGGTTAGGGAGTAGAGAGAATATGGGTAAGGGATATAGAGAATATGGGTTATGAAGTAGAGAGAATATGGGTAAGGGATAGAGAGAATATGGGTAAGGGATAGACAGAATATCGCTTAGGGAGTAGAGAGAATATGGGTAAGGAATAGAGAGAATATGGGTTATGAAGTAGAGAGAATATGGGTAAGTGATAGAGAGAATATGGGTAAGGGATAGAGAGAATATGGGTAAGGGATAGAGAGAATATGGGTAAAGGATAGAGAGAATATGGGTAAGGGATAGAGAGAATATGGGTAAGGGATAGAGAGAATATGGGTTAGGGAGTAGAGAAATATGGGTTAGGGAGTAGAGAGAATATGGGTTAGGGAGTATAGAGAATATGGGTTAGGGAGTAGAGAGAATATGGGTTAGGGAGTAGAGATAATATGGGTTAGGGAGTAGAGAAATATGGATTAGGGAGTAGAGAGAATATGGGTTAGGGAGTAGAGAGAATACGGGTTATGAAGTAGAGAGAATATGGGTAAGGGATAGAGAGAATATGGGTAAGGGATAGAGAGAATATGGTTTAGGGATAGAGCGAATATGGGTTAGGGAGTAGAGAAAATATGGGTTAGGGAGTAGAGAGAATATGGGTAAGGGATAGAGAGAATATGGGTTATGAAGTAGAGAGAATATGGGTAAGGGATAGAGAGAATATGGGTAAGGGATAGACAGAATATGGGTTAGGGAGTAGAGAAAATATGGGTTAGGGAGTAGAGAGAACATGGGTAAGGGATAGAGAGAATATGGGTAAGGGATAGAGAGAATATGGTTTAGGGATAGAGCGAATATGGGTTAGGGAGTAGAGAAAATATGGGTTAGGGAGTAGAGAGAATATGGGTAAGGGATAGAGAGAATATGGGTTATGAAGTAGAGAGAATATGGGTAAGGGATAGAGAGAATATGGGTAAGGGATAGACAGAATATGGGTTAGGGAGTAGAGAAAATATGGGTTAGGGAGTAGAGAGAATATGGGTAAGGGATAGAGAGAATATGGGTTATGAAGTAGAGAGAATATGGGTAAGTGATAGAGAGAATATGGGTAAGGGATAGAGAGAATATGGGTAAGGGATAGAGAGAATATGGGCAAGGGATAGAGAGAATATGGGTTAGGGAGTAGAGAGAATTTGGGTTAGGGAGTAGAGAAAATATGGGTTAGGGAGTAGAGAGAATATGGGTTAGGGGGTAGACAGAATATGGGTTAGGGAGTAGAGAAAATATGGGTTAGGGAGTAGAGAGAATATGGGTAAGAGATAGAGAGAATGTGGGTTATGAAGTAGAGAGAATGTGGTTTAGGGATAGAGAGAATGTGGGTTAGGGAGTAGAGAGAATATGGGTTAGGGAGTAGAGAGAATGTGGGTTAGGGCAGTGATCGGCAAACTCATTAGTCAAAAGAGCCGAAAATCAGCAGCAGGACGATTTAAAACAAACAAAAAAATGTCGATAGCCATACATTTCTTTTCAAGAACTTGCCAAGACCCATGTTATTCGGAATCAAAACCGATTTGTGGCCGAGCTCGAGAGAACGTGGTTTTTTTAGGGAGTAGACAGAGTAATTATGATAACGTGTGCGTCCTGTTTCTAACAGAATTTATTGCAACATCCTTTCTTATTTCTTTTCTTTCATTTTAATAGATTGAATAAAAAAACCTTGAAGATTTTCATTGCTTGTTTTCCGGTTATAAAACAGGAGACTATCCCCCCCCCCTTGATAACTGTACCGCGAGCCTTGTCCTTTTATTGTCCCTACAAATAATTAGCGAACGTTGTCTTGTCGATGGCCGCATTAGTCCAGTGCCTAGGGGGTCTAGATGGCACTGACTGAGAGTCGCTGACCTTGATGTAACGATAACCAAGTCGGCTCCACCCCCTTATAATATATATATATTTTTTTTAAAGTCCACTTCACACATTTCACTGATTAGACGACCTACAGTGTACGTGCAGCTTATCTAAGCACACACACACGACGACCCACAGATGATGAACACGCTACAGCAGGCAGAAGAAGCGGAACGAGGCTATCTTGATCAATGCGATGCAACTGATGTGTGTTTGATAACATCTCGGAGAACGATACACAGTTTCAATTATCGTGCTGCACACACTCGCGAGTCGCGAATAATTTTTTTGATGAATCTCCGCTTCGAATTTTATTTATTTTAAAAAAAATATATAATTTTCTAATTTTTAATAAGCAAAAATTATTGTTGTTTTTAAAAGAAAAAAAAATCAATATACAAAAGACTTTGATGACGTCAACACGAGAACATGGCGTAAGAATGTAGCAGCAGACGGGTAGATTGTGATTTTAGAAACTTCCGGTTCAGTTGTACCAGGGGATACCATCAACCAGGGCCAGTTAGCAACCTCATCCCGAAAACACATGGAGCGGACAGCCGTTATTTGGGTCATTTTTCTGACCCCCTTCGTTGTCATGGTCACCAGCGTCTACGACAGCGACTTCTGCAGCAGCCGCATGGGCTCTATAGACCCGGATGGCGCTAACGGTAAGGGAGATATCGTACGGTCTCATTTGTACACATGTCTGGACGTTTGTGTTCTCCACGTGAAAGACGTTTTGTTGGTGAACATCAACTACATCTGATTTTTCTTTTACAAATGCACCTAGCAGTGCTTGCTTTTCACGTAAAACTGTTTGTACGTTTGCCTGCTTGTAAATAAATCTGGCCCTGGCATGATTTTACCCAGAGATTTTAGTACCTTCTTTGTTTTCCTGTCACGTAGAACTTTTACTACCTGCCGTCAATGTTCCCTTTAACCTGCGTGGCTGCGCGGCCGCGCAGTAATCTCTCAGTCGCCGCGCAGCAGTTTTGAGTGCCGCGCAGCTAATTTCCACTTAAGTGTGTGTCTGTGACTGTAGGCTGTAAAATTTTGCGCCACAACTTTATGATTTTGCACACGAACCAACAAATCTAAGACGGAACATTGCCTGCCGTGCCTATGTGTCACGTCGAACTTATGGTACCTGCCATGCCTGTGTGTCACGTAGCACTTATGGTACCTGCCATGCCTGTGTGTCACTTAGCACTTATGGTACCTGCCGTGCCTGTGTGTCACGTAGCACTTATGCTACCTGCCGTGCCTGTGTGTCACGTAGAACTTTTAGTACCTGTCTGTCACGTAAAATTTCCGGTACTGCCGTGCATTTTACGTATTAGAACGTCTGGTACCCCGCCATGCTTGTCAACTAGAACTTTTTCTAACTTGTCATTCTTGTCATGTAGAGCTTCTTGTACCAGTCGATCTTGTCAGTTGTCAAAAATAAAAATAAAATAATAATAACACTTTTCATTGCCAGATTTTCATATAAAAGTTGAATTAGAGTCTAGTACAATTTCAACACTCTTACGGCTATAAATTGTTGCTTTTTATGGAATTTTTTTAAATGTACATATATTTAATGATTTTAGTGTGTGTGGACTTGTTGTCTTTTTATTTAAAAAAATCTCTCTTAACTCAAAACATCAACTCCAATAATAAGGAATACTAACATTCCAGTCCTGAAACACTAAACATGTAACACTTTTAGAACTGAACCTGTCACATATCAGTTAATAATCAAATCGTCATTTACCCCATCATCAAAATACACAATTCTCCAGGTAACAATGTCACTAACCCTACCAGATGGTGTTTTATTTCACCGAAAACAAATTCCAGAGAAACTGCGCTGAATGAGATTCTTAAAAATACCGTTCGATCGCTCGTGCGTTTGCTTCGTAATATTTCCTTTTTTTTTTAGATAATTAGTGTCAAATTAAATTTATGGTTTAATAAATCCATGATATAAAAAGGTTATGATAAATTAGAAAATTAATATTGTTCAGGGGCAGTGGCATACCCACGCAAGGGAGGGGGTGGGGGGTGGGTTTGCGCAGGTTGGGAATCTTACAAAGTGCTGTCACTTGAATGCATGTTTTTTTTTTAGTAAATTTATTATGTAGGAAGTTCACACATCGAAGACGCCATTGTTTGACGGGCTACTGTCAGTTTTTAATACTAATAATATGGGACATGTGAATCCCTCTACAACTTCTCGCCTCTGTTCAATTATGTATTTTTATTTTCTTTGTCACGTATGCAGCTATCACACTTTATCTGTACCTATTTATGTGTACATTATTTCTCAAGTCATTCACGTGACCATGGCGTTGTGGAGGAAAAAAAAAATTTTTCCCGGAAATTTCCGTAGCTAGAACCCAGTAGACAAGTGGCGTAGCTAGGGTTGGTGTCCCCCGGTGCGGGGGTCCGCACCCCTTAGTTATGCCACTGCCCGTGGAATGTCAACGCTTTCTCAATTTCATTCATTATACTTTAATCGTCTTGAATTTACGAAATAAATTATTGCGCAAATTTGAAATGTTGTTTTTTTAAAAAACTACACGAAGCATATTTTAAAACCATAGAAATATATTTTTAAAAGGCGAAACTTTCTAATCATCAAATGAACTTTTTTTTTCTTTTTAAAGCTGCGGCCATTCGGACCCGGGTCCGATAAGGGAGAGTTTGGATTTATTTTAAAAAATATGCAAACATTTATGGTAGGGTTTGTAAGTCAAACTTTGGTATCAAATGAAAGATGATTGAATGGACTATAATGTTTGTAAACTTACTTCTTCAGTTTAACTAAAATTAACTACCACAAATGACATCCGAATAGCATTTAGTCAAAATTGAACCGAAAACGCATCGCCACTATTCTGTTAGATCGTTGGCCAGACGTTACTAGCAGAGTGAGGCATTGCTGAGCACGGAACATAATAAGATTCAGTATTTTTGAGCAGGAACATGATAAGATTCAGTGTTCTTTGAGCGCGGAACGTAATAAGATGCAGTGTTCTTTGAGCGCGGAACGTAATAAGATGCAGTGTTCTTTGAGCCCGGAACATGATAAGATTCAGTGTTCTTTGAGCGCGGAACGTAATAAGATGCAGTGTTCTTTGAGCGCGGAACGTAATAAGATGCAGTGTTCTTTGAGCCCGGAACATGATAAGATTCAGAATTCTTTGAGCCCGGAACATGATAATATTCATTATTCTTTTAACACGGAACATGATAAGATTCAGTATTCTTTTAACACGGAACATGATAAGATTCAGTGTTCTTTGAGCCCGGAACATGATAAGATTCAGTGTTCTTTGAGCCCGGAACATGATAAGATTCAGAATTCTTTAAGCCCGGAACATGATAAGATTCAGTGTTCTTTGAGCCCGGAACATGATAAGATTCAGAATTCTTTGAGCCCGGAACATGATAAGATTCAGAATTCTTTGAGCACGAAAAATGAAAAGATTAAATGAGAAACGAGAAATGTTTAACCTGGTCGGCTTGCTGTCGAATACCTTAAATATATATATATTTTTTTTATAATGCCCTTGTTCATTATCACGAATTGTGGCAAAACATTGATTCCAAATAAAGAACCATTACTCGTGGTTTTAATTTTAAATCAGAAGCGAGAAAAAGATGGGGCACCTTTGGCAGCATAACTTCCGGTTTAAAAAAAAAAAAGGAGGTCTCACACTAAAAGCAGGCGTGTTTATACTTTGATTCTCCACATTTAATCTGCATTTATACAGCATGTTAGTGCTTAACAAAATATACACATTTAATTGTTTGTTATTGATAACATTGATGAATGAATTAGATGACGTCAGATTGTTCAACCTCCCTCCCCCTCCCCCCCACTCATACACCCTATCCCAGTTTTCGCGCCTTACCGCGCCATCAAAACACTACGCCCTGTCATGTGCAGTCTTAGACTCCCTGTACTCATGCATTCCTAGACTCCCTGTATGTATGTCGTCTTAGACGCCTTGTATGTATGCAGTCTTAGACTCCCTGTACTCATGCATTCCTAGACTCCTTGTATGTATAAAGTATAAGAAGCCATCCAAGGCTAACGAGTCCCATTCACCCGAGGTGCGGTGTTGTTTTTGTTAGTCTTGGCATTTGCTGGGCATTGCGGTCCAGTCCACTAGTTTGGGTTTGACCCAGTTTAGACCGCTTGGNCCATCGTTGATATGCTACAGGTAAGCCATCGTTGATATGTTACAGGTAAGCCGTCGTTGATATGCTACAGGTAAGCCATCGTTGATATGCTACAGGTAAGCCATCGTTGATATGTTACAGGTAAGCCGTCGTTGATATGCTACAGGTAAGCCGTCGTTGATACGCTACACGTAAGCCATCGTTGATATGTTACAGGTAAGCCGTCGTTGATATGCTACAGGTAAGACGTCGTTGATATGCTACAGGTAAGCCGTAATTTATATGCTACAGGTAAGTCGTCATTGATAGGTTACTTCATAACTTATCAAATTTCACTCTCTGTCAAGGGCATGAGAACCACTGTTGTTATGTTTGGGGTTGGAGTAACTTGTGTTCACCAGAGTATGGGTGAACAAGGCATGAGATCGTCACTGACGATGAACGGGAGGGTATTTATATATTATTATTATCTATAGTGTGTCAGGAAAGAGAGGGGGGTAGAACGTGATGTGTACAAGAAGTAGGTGAGACATAATGGATGACTTCGAATGGATTTTCGGTTCCTGTTGTTAGCAAGGAGTGTACTATGTGATCGGAGTACTTCGAAAGGAACATCAGTGACTCTTGATGGCACTGCTTTTTTTTTGGCATGGGATTTGTATGGCTAATGAATGTGTCTGTCAGTTGACATCGGCGACTCCGGACTTTTTTTTTGTGTGGTTTGTGGTGCATGGTTTGTGGTGCATGGTTTGTGGTGCATGGTTTGTGGTGCATGGTTTGTGGTGCATGGTTTGTGGTGCATGGTTTGTGGTGCATGGTTTGTGGTGCATGGTTTGTGGTGCATGGTTTGTGGTGCATGGTTTGTGGTGCATGGTTTGTGGTGCATGGTTTGTGGTGCATGGTTTGTGGTGCATGGTTTGTGGTGCATGGTTTGTGGTGCATGGTTTGTGGTGCATGGTTTGTGGTGCATGGTTTGTGGTGCATGGTTTGTGGTGCATGGTTTGTGGTGCATGGTTTGTGGTGCATGGTTTGTGGTGCATGGTTTGTGGTGCATGGTTTGTGGTGCATGGTTTGTGGTGCATGGTTTGTGGTGCATGGTTTGTGGTGCATGGTTTGTGGTGCATGGTTTGTGGTGCATGGTTTGTGGTGCATGGTTTGTGGTGCATGGTTTGTGGTGCATGGTTTGTGGTGCATGGTTTGTGGTGCATGGTTTGTGGTGCATGGTTTGTGGTGCATGGTTTGTGGTGCATGGTTTGTGGTGCATGGTTTGTGGTGCATGGTTTGTGGTGCATGGTTTGTGGTGCATGGTTTGTGGTGCATGGTTTGTGGTGCATGGTTTGTGGTGCATGGTTTGTGGTGCATGGTTTGTGGTGCATGGTTTGTGGTGCATGGTTTGTGGTGCATGGTTTGTGGTGCATGGTTTGTGGTGCATGGTTTGTGGTGCATGGTTTGTGGTGCATGGTTTGTGGTGCATGGTTTGTGGTGCATGGTTTGTGGTGCATGGTTTGTGGTGCATGGTTTGTGGTGCATGGTTTGTGGTGCATGGTTTGTGGTGCATGGTTTGTGGTGCATGGTTTGTGGTGCATGGTTTGTGGTGCATGGTTTGTGGTGCATGGTTTGTGGTGCATGGTTTGTGGTGCATGGTTTGTGGTGCATGGTTTGTGGTGCATGGTTTGTGGTGCATGGTTTGTGGTGCATGGTTTGTGGTGCATGGTTTGTGGTGCATGGTTTGTGGTGCATGGTTTGTGGTGCATGGTTTGTGGTGCATGGTTTGTGGTGCATGGTTTGTGGTGCATGGTTTGTGGTGCATGGTTTGTGGTGCATGGTTTGTGGTGCATGGTTTGTGGTGCATGGTTTGTGGTGCATGGTTTGTGGTGCATGGTTTGTGGTGCATGGTTTGTGGTGCATGGTTTGTGGTGCATGGTTTGTGGTGCATGGTTTGTGGTGCATGGTTTGTGGTGCATGGTTTGTGGTGCATGGTTTGTGGTGCATGGTTTGTGGTGCATGGTTTGTGGTGCATGGTTTGTGGTGCATGGTTTGTGGTGCATGGTTTGTGGTGCATGGTTTGTGNTGTGTTTTTGTAAAAACTTAGGAGTCAAAATCCCAACTTTTTTTTTAAATTTTTTTTTGTTTCAAGGGTATGAGAACCTCTGTTTTTTTTTTTCAAGTCTGTGATGTGTGTGTGCGTGCGTGTATGTATTTGTGTGTGTGTGTGTGTGTGTGTTTTATATTTGCGCGTCTTTTGTGTGTGTGTGTGTCTGTGTTTGGGATTTTAGAAAAATAGATTAACAATGTTCAAGTGAAAGATGACACTGCTCATTATCTAAACCACCCCAATCACCATCATCACTCACTATTGTTTTTGAGCGGCCCTCTGCTGAAATAAAAGGACAATACATGATGTTGACTCCATCACTGATGGAAACACTCCAATAAACACGTTTGAAATTTTATTTCTACAGTTGCGTTGCACTGGGGAGGCAATGCCAGACGAAACATCTCATACAAGGGAGAAGACACGTCCAGGGGTAGGTCACCAAGAGACAAACTATATTCTCGAAGTTTAGCTTTCAATTATTTCCATTAATTGTGTTTTTACCGCAACAAACAGTTTAATAAATTTTTCTCAGATGTAAGGAATTGATTTAATTTAATCTAAGACCAGTTTTCTCAATTTTTGTTTTAATGAAAAAAATAATAATAAAATCCTCTCAAAAAATCAAACAATTCAATGCTTCCATCGTTTCTTTATGATCAAGTAACCTTTCTTTAAGATTATCTATTAGTGATTTTAAAATATTGTAGGTGAGTCATATTGTAGGTGGGTCATATTGTAGGTGGGTCATATTGTAGGTCGGTCATATTGTAGGTGGGTCATATTGTAGGTGGGTGATTTTGTAGGTGGGTATTTACGCCCATTTTCAACAGACACATTTTTTTTTTTTTAAATGGCTACTTTTTGGTCACACGGGTATTATTAAAAAAAAAAAAATAATTTAAAAATAAAAACATTTTTAACGCATGTTTCTCATAGAGTCTGAAGATGAATGACGTTTGATTTCAATTGTATAAGTTCAGCTCTCTGATTCATAAACTTGACCAGTTCCATTTGTATTTGTATATTACAATGTATATCCAATATGTAGACCCTAGTGTATATTCCAGTGCATAATCTAATGAATATTACGATCAGATTTCCAGTATTTGCTCATAACATGTTCAAACTATGTTGTTCATACGTCAAGTAAAGGCCAATAATGACCTTATAATACATGCAACGGGGATGTGCCTATGACGTTGGCGGTATCATGATAAGAATTATGATAACAATTACAATTTATTTTTAAATGTTTAACAATGAAATATCATCATCTTGGCACATCGGTTTTTTTTATAATAACAGTGCTGTGGAGCTCCCACGGCTTAACATCTAGTAGTCGTGCACAGAGCATTAATGTCCAATTCTTCTTCTGGTGTCCTTTTCACGCTCGGCTGCGTACACACGCCCCTTATGGCTGCAACGTCCTCTTGCCCCCAGGGGTTATACGTCTCCGATATATTTTATCATGCATATGTTTCGCCGTCGTCCCCACCGATCCCAGCCCCCCACAACCTTGCTTTCACCATTTCATAGTGTACTTACCTGCACTACTACCATATTGAGCTTGAGTTAACTTAGCCGTCCTGTCACGGGTTTGACACTTGACAGGCATGGACACGCAGAAATGGTGGACTTGTGAATATGCCGACTACAGGGATGCCACGACGTTCACAGAATGGCATATTGTCGGTGAGTCACATTGTAGGTGGGCCTTATTGTTGGTGGGTCTTATTGTGGGTGGGTCTTATTGTAGGTGAGTGACATTGTAGGTGAGTCAAATTGAAGTTAGTGATATTTTAGGTGGGTCATATTGTAGGTGGGTCATATTGTAGGTGGGTCATATTGTAGGTGGGTCATTTTGTAGGCGGGTCATATTGTAGGTGGGTCATATTGTAGGTGGGTCATGTTGTAGGTTGGTCAAAGTTAGGTAAATTATTGGGCCTTAAACACACATTAAACAATTTGCATGATTTATATTTTTTTCTCTATGCGTGTAAGACAATTAGTTCAACTCAAACTCCATAAAAGTTGTTTTCAAACTCAATATTAGTCATCACCCAAGGTTATCCCCTTTGTCTCGTGTCTCACAGACCCCGCTAGGTTCAACCTGCCGGTCGTTGACCCCAATCAGCCACAACCCCGCCCGATTCTACCTGTCTCCGCGTACGTCACTGGTGTTGATAAGAATGACCCAAGCAACATCTTTAACTTCAACTACAGGTGAGACCATTTCAGACAGTTGATTTAGCCTACTGTAAAGCGCATGCTATCCTTGTTGATAAATCTTACGTTATCCCCCAAAGTTAAGTCAAATTTTATCCTAGTAGATAGATCTTATATTATCCACCAGAGATAAAACTAATTTTATCCTTGTAGATAAATCTTATATTATCCCCACAGTTATATCAAATTTTATCCTTTACATAAATCTTGTCTTATCCCAACATTTAAATCAAATTTTATCGTTGTATATCAATCTTATAATATTATCCCCACAGTTAAATCAAATGTTATCCTTGTAGATAAAGCTTATATCATCCCCCCAAAGATAAATCAAATTTTATCCTTGTAGATAAATCTTATATTATCCCCACTGTTATATCAAATTTTATCCTTTGACATAAATCTTGTATTATCCCAACATTTAAATCAAATTGTATTGTTATATATTAATCTTATTATATTATCCCCACAGTAAAATCAAATGTTATCCTTGTAGATTAATCTTATATTATCCCCACAGTTAAATCTCATGTTATTTTTGTTGGTAGATCGTATTTTCCCTACAGGTCAATCACATGTTATTCGTGCAGGTAAATTTCATCTCTATTTTACAGGTATGACTTTACACACTTTTCAAGAATCCAATCAGATGATCGTCATTTCAGGGTGAGATGTCTAACAAATTATTCAACAGCTATCTTAATTCAAACTTTCAACTATCCAGAAATGTATCCTCGGTAGTATCCAGAGTAGAATCCAGAGTAGAATCCAGAGTAGTATCCAGAGTAGTATCAAGAGTAGTATCCAGAGTAGTATCAAGAGTAGTATCCAGAGTAGTATCAAGAGTAGTATCAAGAGTAGTATCAAGAGTAGTATCAAGAGTAGTATCAAGAGTAGTATCAAGAGTAGTATCAAGAGTAATAGCAATCCGAGTAGTATCAAGAGTAGTATCAAGAGTAGTATCAAGAGTAGTATCAAGAGTAGTATCAAGAGTAGTAGCAATCAGAGTAGTATCAAGAGTAGTAGCAATCCGAGTAGTATCAAGAGTAGCAATCCGAGTATTATCAAGAGTAGCAATCCGAGTAGTATCAAGAGTAATAACAAGTGTAGTATCCATAGTAATTTCCAGAAAATTATCAAGAATAGTATAAAGAGTAGTATTCAGAATAGTATTCAGGGTATTATCCACGGTGGTATTCAGAAGTCATTTTAAAAATTGTATAGACCTTTCCCAGACCAAAAAAAAAATATTTAAAAAAACACAAAAAGAACATTTTATTGTTTATTCTCCAAATTTAAATTATTTGATTTTGTTATGTTTTAAAATAAATTGAATTTGAGTATTAGAAAGAGCTTCACTTGTTTGTTTTGCCCCTGATGACCAACAAGGTGAATCCCCTTTAGAATGTGTTAGTGCGTAGTGCTTAAAATAGTTAACATTAAAAAATATCTCATAATAGCTGAAACGAAGAATATTTTAAAAAAAAAATAATTTAATTGTTATCATACCAAGATACCGCCCAGAATGATGTGTGCCAACAAGCCCAACTCCCAGAAGCCACTTCCCACTGTGCCAGATTATTTCAAATTTCGAGGTGAAATGTTGACTATAACGGGATATGACTTGTCGACGCCGGATGCACCCCAGCTGACCTACACGATTGTAAGGCTCACTTTTTTTTAACATAGCATAAGACATATTCTTGTCCTCAATGTTCTTAATGATTCTAGAATTTCGGTGAAAACGAAATTCGCTTAAAATAATACAGCAATAAATTACATTTATAAAGCAAAAAAATTACATTAATACAGCAATAAATTACATTAATACAGCAATAACTTACATTAATACAGCAATAACTTACATTAACAGAAATAAATTACATTAATATGACATAATAATTGAACATATAATATTACATTAACACAGCAAAAAAAATTGCATTAATACTGCAATAACTTACATTAATACAGCAATAACTTACATTAACAGAAATAAATTACATTAATATGACATAATAATTGAACATATAATATTACATTAATACAGCAAAAAATTACATTAATACGGCAATAAATTACATTAACACAGCAATAACTTAACATTAATACAGCAATAACTTACATAAATACTGCAATAACTTACATTTACACAGAAATAAATTACATTAATATAACAATAACTGACATTAATACAACAATAACTTACATTAATACAACGGTACCGTACGCAATGATTTCTTTTTTTTTTTTTTTTGTCTTTGCTCAGGAAGAATACAGACACGCCCTGGGTCTGTACATAACGGACGTGATCTCTGTGCCCAACCAAGTCAACAGCCCCAATGATAAATCCTACTCAAGACTGGTGGATGATTAATAACTTACATTAATACAACGGTACCGTACGCAATGATTTCTTTTTTTTTTTTTTTGTCTTTGCTCAGGAAGAATACAGACACGCCCTGGGTCTTTACATACAGGACGTGATCTCTGTGCCTAACCAAGTCAACAGCCCCAATGATAAATCTTACTCAAGACTGGTGGATGATTTCACTACTGGTGAGTTGTGAACAGAATACCAACCTACAGAATTTTTACATCTCTATAAATTGTATCTACGTACCTGTAAAATTTCTAGTGGTTGAAGAAATTACTACAGCAAAATCGTGTAATTTTGTGCTTTTATGTTTCGATGTACCCGATTAAACGTCATAATGTATTTATGTTAGTAGCCGTAGATAACTTCTATATAGACCACAAGAAAGGTTCTCAAATGGGCCTAAAAATATATAATTAAAAAAAAAATATTATCTCTCAATGAACAGAATTATTATAAATAACTTGTTCATTGATATTGTGATCAGCTTTGGAATCGTTTGCTCTTATATACCGCTCTTCAGCCGTTATTTACGCTTTGCCTTACCAGTCACTTGTCTTATATACAATGGGCCTACCAGTCACTTGTCTTATATACAATGGGCCTACCAGTCACTTGTCTTATATACAATCGGCCTACCAGTCACTTGTCTTATATACAATCGGCCTTACCAGTCACTTGTCTTATATACAATGGGCCTACCAGTCACTTGTCTTATATACAATGGGCCTACCAGTCACTTGTCTTATATACAATGGGCCTACCAGTCACTTGTCTTATATACAATCGGCCTTACCAGTCACTTGTCTTATATACAATGGGCCTACCAGTCACTTGTCTTATATACAATGGGCCTACCAGTCACTTGTCTTATATACAATGGGCCTTCCAGTCACTTGTCTTATATACAATGGTCCTACCCGTCACTTGTCTTATATACAATGGGCCTTACCAGTCACTTGTCTTATATACAATGGGCCTACCAGTCACCTGTCTTATATACAATGGGCCTTACCAGTCACTTGTCTTATATACAATGGGCCTACCAGTCACTTGTCTTATATACAATGGGCCTACCAGTCACTTGTCTTATATACAATGGGCCTACCAGTCACTTGTCTAATATACAATGGGCCTACCAGTCACTTGTCTTATATACAATGGGCCTACCAGTCACTTGTCTTATATACAATGGGCCTACCCCACTTATATTTTTAAATTATCTTAATTTGTAATAAAAAACATTGTAGTACTTTTGAATCTTGTTTTTTTTTTTATGCTTTGACGATTTGACAGAGCTAACGATGGGTTATTAATAAAAAAAACAACTTATTATGTCAATTAAATAACTCCTTTGCATCGTGACTCGCTTTTTGTCAACGGCCAGGTCTCAATTATGTGCTGGACCTGGAGACTGGACTGTGTGAAATAAACGTCATAACCGATGATAAAGTGGACGCCATCAGGATGGGCAACAATCTGGTGCAGATGAGGAACTCTGAACAGTTCTTTGATCTGGACCCCACTGCTTACCAGTACATGGGCATTGTGAGTAAACAAAAGAAATAAATGTATGGACAGGGGAGGTAAACAAATAGTCCAATATATGGGCATTCTATGTAAACAAATGGACACATGTATGTGCATTGTATGTAAACAACGACACATGTATGGGCATTGTATGTAAACAAACACACAAATTTATGGGCATGTAAGTAAACAAAGTGACAAATACACGGGCATTGTATGTAAAAGAAGAGACTAATATATTGACATTATATGTAAACAAAGAGACCAATACATGGGCATTGTATGTAAACAAAGAGACCAATATATAGGCAATGTATGTAAACAAAGAGACCAATACATGGGCATTGTATGTAAACAAATAGTCCAATATATGGGCATTGTATGTAAACAAAGAAACAAATGTATGTGCATTGAATGTAAACAAAGTGACCAATGTATGGGCATTGTATGTAAACAAAGAAACAAATGTATATGCATTGAATGTAAACAAAGTGACCAATGTATGGGCATTGTATGTAAACAAAGAAAAAAATGTATGTGCATTGAATGTAAACAAAGTGACCAATGTATGGGCATTGTATGTAAAGAAAGAAACAAATGTATGTACATTGTAGGTAATCAAAGTGACCAATGTATGTGCATTGTATGTAAACAAAGTGACCAATGTATGGGCATTGTATGTAAACAAAGTGACCAATGTATGGGCATTTTATGTAAACAAAGTGACAAATGTATGGGCATTGTATGTAAACTAAGTGACCAATGTATGGGCATTGTATGTAAACCAAGTGACCAATGTATGGGCATTGTATGTAAACAAAGTGACCAATGTATGGGCATTGTATGTAAACAAAGTGACCAATGTATGGGCATTGTATGTAAACAAAGAGACCGATGTATGGGCATTGTATGTAAACAAAGTGACTGATGTATGGGCATTGTATGTAAATGTGACCGATGTATGGGCATTGTATGTAAACAAAGTGACTGATGTATGGGCATTGTATGTAAATGTGACCGATGTATGGGCATTGTATGTAAACAAAGTGACCGATGTATGGGCATTGTATATAAACAAAGTGACCAATGTATGGGCATTGTATGTAAAACATATAGATTTATGACCTCTCAGCCTGTTCAGTTGGATTCTCTATTTTAATTAGATTTTATTCTCTGAACCACCACCGGACAACCACGCAACTAACCTAATGTTACCTTTGACGTCAAGTCTCTAAATATTTTTTGGTTGTTGTCTTCTGTTGTGTTCAGCAAGAGATGAGAGGCATCACGTGCGATGCTTGGACGGCATATTTCGGCACTGATCAAACATTACACCAGCAGAACGCTTACTACACATGGTACTTTGCTAATGTAAGTTACGTCTTAACGAGTGGAGGGGGGATGGGTTGGGGATGGGTTGGGAGAGGGGGGGGGGAATGGATTTTTTTAACAACTGAAAACTTGATTTGACCGAGAAATTCCCGTTAGAAAAGACATATCAAATAGATTAACTTATTAACTAATTTATTTTAAATATTTACATACGAAACTGTTAGCTGAAGTTTTCATACCAATACAGATTTTTTTAAAATGTGTTTTCCTCAATCAAAACAAAGTTTTATTTTTTGCACCTTAGAGTATTTAATTTTTATTAAAAAATTTTGATGGCGAAAACGTAGATTTAAAAAAAATCCTTAAGATTGAATATTAGTTTATAATATGCCAAGGATAAAGAAAACAGCAAGAAGAGATCCCGGAGTCAGAATGGGATTTGAATCTTAAAATAACAATATTAGATAGCCATTATTATGATCTGCATAAAACCAATGATTCTGTGGCGTAACTAAGAAAATCCATCAGGCAAAACAACAATATTATGTAGGTGCTAGCTAATGCATAAGCTAGGTGCTATTTAGCGCATAGGTTAATTTCTTTACATAAAAAATAATTTCACAGCCAGACTGGATGCAAGATAATAACTTCCAAGAACAGTTCACTCTGCCGGTTGCACTTGAACTCACACAAGGTCATGTAAGTGCCTGGAAGGCAGCTGCCGGTTGTGTACCAAAATACAGTATCGTAATTTTAAATTTAATTTCAATTTGTAACTTAATTTATGACTTAACTTTTTACTGAATGTTTTTAGTTATTTTTGTATTGATCGTGAACCCCCTTTTTTTAGAATTTGGAGAACCAATTAATTATGATTTTGAAATTTATTGAAAGGCGAACTGTATTGGAATAAAGTGTTCACTTGCCAGCCAGCCATTAATATTTCAGCGTGTAAATAAAAGAATAATAAAATTATCATCTGAAAGACAAAAAGAGAAATAAATATTGAGAATAAAGACGGTGCATAAACATATAAGAGGCTACTCTTGGACAAGGGACAATCAAAATACTGTAACGAATGAAACAACATATTATTATAATTGTATAAAGCAAGAAAATAAAAGTGTAGCTTAATATACAAAATGACCTATAAAATAACGAACATGATCTAAAAAGAGCGAAACTGTGTGTACGATACCATCTCCTCAGACTTATATACAGTTCAATATCTACGAGTTCACTACCGATATTGGGAGATCGATACCAGACGTGTCCGCCTGCTACGACGTGCAGAGCAGCATGAACATCGAAATTTACTTTAACGGTGAGTACGTTAGTGATATAGAGAATGGTGAGTACGTCAGTGATATATTGATTGGTGAGTACCTCAGTGATATAGTGATTGGTAAGTACCTCAGTGATATAGTGATTGGTGAGTACCTCAGTGATATAGTGATTGGTGAGTACGTCAGTGATATAGTCAATGGTGAGTAGATCAGTGATATAGTGATTGGTGAGTACGTCAGTGATATAGTGATTGGTGAGTACGTCAGTGATATAGTGAATGGTGAGTAGATCAGTGGTATAGTGAATGGTGAGTACCTCAGTGATGTAGTGTTTGTTGAGTACGTCAGTGAAATGGTGATAGGTGAGTACGTCAGTGATATGGTGATTGGTGAGAACGTCAGTGATATAATGATTGGTGAGTGCGTCAGTGATATAGTGATTGGTGAGTACATCAATGATATAGTGATTGGTGAGTACGTCAGTGATATAGTATAGTGATTGGTGAGTACATAAGTGATGTAGTGTTTGGTGATTATGTCAGTGATAATAGTGATAGGTGAGTACGTCAGTGATATAAAGATTGGTGAGTACGTCAGTGATATGGTGATTGGTGAGTACGTCAGTGATATAGTGATTGGTGAGTACGTCACTGATATAGTGGTTGGTGAGTACGTCACTGATATAGTGATTGGTGAGTACGTCAGTGATATGGTGATTGGTGAGTACGTCAGTGATATAGTGTTTAATAAGTACGTCAGTGATATGGTGATTGGTGAGTACGTCAGTGATATAGTGTTTAATAAGTACGTCAGTGATATAGTGATTGGTGAATACGTCAGTGATATAGTGAATGGTGAGTACGTCAGAGATATAGGGATAGCATTTTGTATTTTTAGTACCTTACTACCATTGTGATAACATTTCATCTTGGTTAGTACGTTAGTGCCATATTGGTCATTTTGGTGTGTGCATTTTTGTGTGATATTAATGACATTTCATATTGGTTAATACTTCCATGACATTATGCTGACATGTGGAATTGATTATTACATCAATGCTAGTATGATGACATGTCATATTCGTTTGTACTGCAATTTTTATAATAAAAAAATTTCTTATGGGTTTGTACCTCAATGGCATTACCATGAAATTGCATGTCGTAATCATACAGTGATATCATGTCTCAACGCTCATGCGTGTGGGATGATATGTCACATTGGCATAGTCTGTCAATGCCATAGGAAGGACACGTTAAATGTGTTAGTACATATTAAAGCCCACATGATGGCAAGTGACACCTTCACATGTCAGATGTCACTGTATTCTAAGTCTTGTTTCATCGCTTAAACTCAAAAGCTCGTCCACGTTAAAATGTTCATCAAACCTGTCTACAGGGCGCTATGACCAGTATTACACCCCAGCCCAGGCAGGCTTCAGGCAAAGTTTTCTGAAGGGCCTCGTGCGGGTCACTAGCTTAAATTCAACTTTACGGATAGCTGACCTGGACGTAAGTAAAGTTGTAGTTTGAAAAAGACGGCTGATCTGGCTGTAAATGAAAACTTTGTAGTTGACTTAGATAGCTGACCTGGGTGTAAGTAAAGTTGTAGTTTGAAAAGGACGGCTGATCTGGCTGTAAATGAAAACTTTGTAGTTGACTTAGATAGCTGACCTGGGTGTAAGTAAAGTTGTAGTTTGAAAAAGACGGCTGATCTGGCTGTAAATGAAAACTTTGTAGTTGACTTAGATAGCTGACCTGGGTGTAAGTAAAGTTGTAGTTTGAAAAAGACGGCTGATCTGGCTGTAAATGAAAACTTTGTAGTTGACTTAGATAGCTGACCTGGGTGTAAGTAAAGTTGTAGTTTGAAAAGGACGGCTGATCTGGCTGTAAATGAAAACTTTGTAGTTGACTTAGATAGCTGACCTGGGTGTAAGTAAAGTTGTAGTTTGAAAAAGACGGCTGATCTGGCTGTAAATGAAAACTTTGTAGTTGACTTAGATAGCTGACCTGGGTGTAAGTAAAGTTGTAGTTTGAAAAGGACGGCTGATCTGGCTGTAAATGAAAACTTTGTAGTTGACTTAGATAGCTGACCTGGGTGTAAGTAAATTTGTAGCTGACAGATAGCTGACCTGGGTGTAGGTAAATTTGTAGTTGACAAAGATAGCTGACTTGGATGTAACCAAAGTTTAACTTGACATAGATGCTGACTTGATGTAAGTCACATTCTGTTATGCACCCTCTTTTCAAAGATACCAACTGAATACAAAAAAAAATATGTATGGGAAAAATAATTTCCTAACATTATGTTAAAAAAGGATAGTGTAATGGTAAATCCATGACTTCTATTGAACTGAAGCTCAAAGGGAGATAATCATACATGTGGATTTCAAACACAAAATATTACCTCCCCTGATTTGTAACAACACTAGATTTAGTTTGTTGTCGTTTCGTTTCTTCTGTTGACTCAGGTCCAGCCAGCGAAAGACAATAAAATAGTTGTACGTTTTAAGTTGTTGGACAAACCAACAATAAAAGGTGATGTGGCTAAGATACCGATGATGGCCCCGAATCAAGTCGTCTATCAGGAAATCGTCACGGCGGTCAACGCTGGTCAGTTTTACATCAACGTTGGAGAAACGGTAACTAATCATTAGAGAGTACCAGTTGCTTTGCTAAAACCATCAATAATATCAATAGTCTTATATTACATCATTTATTTGTTAAAACCATTAAAAGTCTTGTATGGCATTATTTCGCTAAAACCATCAAAAGTCTTGTATGACATCATTATTTCGCTAAAACCATCAAAGGTCTTGTATAACATCATTATTTTGCTAAAACCATCAAAGGTCTTGTATGCCATCATTATTTTGCTAAAACCATCAAAGGTTTTGTATGAATCATTATGTTGCTAAAACCATCAATAGTCTTGTGAACCATCATCAGTTTGTTAAAGCATCAAAAGGCTTGTAAACCATCTTTAATTTGCACTGACATCAACATTTCTTAAGTGTCTCACAATAATAGACATGCATATTATGGTCATCTTTACAATGCGGGGCTTACAAACCACTGCTCCCACCACAGGGTAACGCCATCGTCTACGCCATACCGAACTCTGCTGGTCACATTAAGGCAGTGTCGCCGTGGTCCCAGCCATCGAATGTGACCACTGGGACAAGCCCCGGCTCAACACAGACCTCGACTGGCTTCTCCTCCGGTCAGTTTCACATGCCATCTGATATATTAAGGAAATTCGAGTCGGTGTATCACCTGATGAAGATTCTTTATTAGAGTCCCGAAAAATCATGAACTGCTTTCATACCGGAGAGTAATGCGTCGAAACACGAACAGAGCAATAACAATAAGAGAGGGTTAGAAAGAAAGAAGAGGTTGAGAGAGAGAGAGAGAGAGTGAGAGTAAAGAAAGAGAGAGAAAGGGGGTAAAGAGAGAGAAATAAAGAGAGGGAAAGAGAGGGCCGGGTGGGTAAGAAAGATAGAAAAAAGAGATAGAAGAGATAGATGGAGAGGGTGTAAATAAAAAAAAAAGAGAGAAAAACGAGAGAAAGAAAGAGGGAGAATGAGAGTGAGAAAAGACAGAGACAAAGAAAGAGAAAGAACAAAAAGTGAGAGAGAGAGATATATAAAAGAGGGAAAGAGACAGAAAAAAAGACAGAAAAAAAGGGAGACCAATAAAGAGAGAGAATTTGAGATAATTATGAGGAAGGTGACAGGATTGGGGGTGGGGGGGGAAAGCTTAAGAATGAATTTTGTTAAACAATTTTGTTAATTATGAAAGATATAATTGCTATACAATGTAGCTTGAACGTTGCACTATATTTGACTATTTCTATGTATTATATCATGCTATACAAGACGTTAAATGAAAACTTCGATTTTCTCTTCCGCCCCCCCCCACGTCCACCCCCCCCCCCACCACACACACCTCTAGGTTCCCTGGCTGGAGTTGGTGTCGGAATGTTGGTGGCCGGTGTACTCATTGGGTTCCTACTGGTCTTTGCCATCAAGAAAGCGCGCGGAGGACAGACGAATTCAGAGTTCACTATGAAAACTTTACAGCCGGACTCCTAGTAGCGGGTGACGTCATGATGATGATTGGATTCAACTAGATATACCTCACAGCGATGACCCGTGGATGATTAATTTAACTAGGCACCTCATAATGTTGACATCTTGAAGATTAATTCAACTAGATATACCTCATAGCATTGACGTGGTGATGTTTCATTTAAATTGACACCTCGTAGTTTTGTCCATCTTGAAGATTAATTCAACCCAGCTACGTCATTTGGATGTGGACACTTTGATGATTTTTTTCAGTTAGATGGCGCTGGCTTGGTAGATGAACTCTTTGAAGATTAATTCAAACTGAAACCTCTTCGTGTGGGCAATTTGAAGATTTAATACAGACTTCTAGTGAATACAGACTGCAAGTGAATACAGACTTCTAATGAATACAGACTTCAAGTGAATACAGACTTCAAGTGAATACAGACTTCTAGTGAATACAGACTTCTAGTGAATACAGACTTCTAGTGAATACAGACTTCAAGTGAATACAGACTTCAAGTGAATACAGACTTCTAGTGAATACAGACTTCTAGTGAATACAGACTTCTAGTGAATACATACTTCTAGTGAATACAGACTTCTAGTGAATACAGACTTCTAGTGAATACAGACTTCTAGTGAATACAGACTTCTAGTGAATACAGACTTCTAGTGAATACAGACTTCTAGTGAATACAGACTTCTAGTGAATACAGACTTCTAGTGAATACAGACTTCTAGTGAATACAGACTTCTAGTGAATACAGACTTCTAGTGAATACAGACTTCTAGGGATGAAGCGAGGAAGAACACAACGACATTAAATCAAGCACTTAACATTCATACGATGATCTCTTCTTCTCAATAAAATATTAAAATGCGAGATTTTAAATAACGGCTACATTAAAAAAAAATGTATATATTTCTTTTTTAAAGTTAAAGGTAATTCGCTTAACATTCGGGGCTCAAGTTCTGCAGGGACGCATGGGAACTGCGTTTCCTGTACATTTTTAAATTTTCTAAGGAATACATATTTAATTCAAGAGTGTCGAGATTGGTCTTTAGTGAGATCGCACACTTTGTTTCCTGGGTGGCGACCCATGTTTACATCTATGACAAAATACGTCTGTTAAACTGCTTTGATGGTGACCAAAGTGAAACAAATATATGGCGAAACATAGTAATGAGTGTGAATGGTTTTCCTATTATAAATGACATGTTTGAATTATAGTTCATGGTTTTTTGTTGTTTTTTTTAATGTAAATTGTATTTATTAAAATCGTAAATATTTGCGTTTTCTCATTTTATTTCTTTCTTTTTTTTTAAAGTAATAAAGAGAACTGTTGATTTAACACCTGTGTAAAAAATGTGGGGGGAAAAAAAGGGGGGGGGGCATTTTTTCTTTTTAAATCCTTAATATTAACTTCGCTTTTGTTCATGGCTGGCTGGCAAAAAACCTTCAGACGGCTACTTGAACCACTTTCCGTCAACCCATCGAGCTGAACCTTAGAGCCGTTGCCGATGACAACACATTCTTTCAAATTTTTCAACCCCTGCACCCCCACCCGCAAAATGGACAAGCCAGTTTTTTTAAAGAGTTTTTCTAGGGGAAGATAAAATGAAATTCCCGATAAATGGGCCAAATGAGATGCTTTTAAAAAAGAATTTAAAAAAAACAACAAAAAGTATTTTTGGTGCGTATTATTTTCTTTTGTTAATTCCGAATTAGTTGGCGAAATAAACCTGCGGTGTAAATCCGGGTGGGTCATGTCAACAACAAAATATCAGCGTGAATGGTATAACATTCTTTTTAGATTTTGTTTTAATTTTTTGAGTTGTTTAGTTTGTGTTTTTAATTTTTTCGGGTGTTTTTTTTTTCCCCTCGCAAGGGTTGCCATTTTAAGTACCTATAGCGAATTAATGTTTAACTACATTGCTAGATACAAAAGAGTTAAATAGGCGCATCAACAAAAATTTGACAAATACATTTTTTTTCGTGGGGGCTGAAAATCGCAACGGGCAAGTGTGTCACCACCCTTGTGGAACATGTTAAATTTATTTATGAAAAAAAAAAATATTACTTCACTTCAATCCATGACTAGCCATATCAACAATAATCAATACATTGCAAGGGGCTAACATAAGTACTATCAATACCTGCTTATCACCATAGTTTATCAGTTGAGATAACAGAAAGAGAAAAAAAATCAAAATGAACATCACACTAACACACTGACAATCAAACTACACTGTATTTATTTATTTTTTTTACTTAGCGTGTTCTAAGACGACCATTTTAGAATTTACTACACAACAAACAAACACAATTCGCCGTGTTTCATATTTCAACTTTGTCATTTAATCTTTACATCTGGATATAATTAAAACTGGGTGGAGCATTGGAGATTTCAAGTATTGTAAGTATCACGCCATGACCAGGGATAGTATTATCGCTCGTTAGCGCCACTTCTTTAGCTTCACTTCTCTGTTTTATTGGCTCTTGGTTGTGCTTAGGCCAGCGGTTCCTACATTGTTGTCCACCGCAACGCCATGGAGAGAAATATTTGCAACATGTTAATAACTTTGTTACCATTTCCGATTCCGGCGACTGTCAGCTGACCGGGTGCAAAGCAATGACTCACCTAGTAGTAACCGTTGGCAGAAGCCTCTGTGAATGGTCACATGTAAAATTTTGTTTACAAAAACATCTATGAAAGGTCACAATTAATAAATTGCGACAGAAGCATCTATGGCTGGTCACATGTGGAAGATGGTGTTCACACTTCTATAATTAAGTTAACCGATAATCGAAATAATAACAATGTCGCAGTGTCATTTTATTTTAGATACCATGAAATCCTGGATTAAAGCAAGGGTGCCGAGAATTAAATACAGTTTGGGAACCTCTTGATTAGGTCATACTGGTTTATTCCATTTCTTGCCATCTATCTGTCTGTCTCTCTTGTCTCTCTCTCTCTCTCTCTTGGTCTGTCACTCTCACTCTCTCTCTCTCTCTCTCTCTCTCTTTCTCTTAATCTCTCTCTCACTCTCTGTCTCCAGCTCTCTTCTCCATAACGTGTCTACCCACCTTTCCATTACTGCGAATTAATTGCTAGAGCATGTCTTACACTGCATTTTAGTATTGAATTATAAAACCGTACATGTAGCACAGTGATGGTATTTACCAGAGACATACCAGACATCTGAGTGTGCAGGTCAGGTGGACGACGTTAAAGAAGACATTTAACAGACAAACCCTTGTTGAAAATATGATTTATATCCATGCCCAGTAGTTGTTTTTTTCTCGTTTGTTTTCTTCGTTATCCAGCTTTTTAATTCAATTAGAATCCATTATGCCGCTGCTATTTCTGAGCTTCTTTGTTGCCATGACAACGGTGGTGTCTGCCAGTCTGTCTGGTTACGGATACAACGCAGACTTTTGCAGTCAACACATTGGAGTAATAGAGGACGACGGCTCTACAAGTAAGACACAAAATTAAGTTACTGGGAGAAATAAGGAGATGTTATTACGTGGGAATGGTTGGAGTAGTTATAATAATTGATGGACTGGATTCAAGTTGTGTACATGAAATACAAGACCAAGGTAAAAGGCTAGACTTGAATTCATAGACAGGACAAAAGATTTTGACGTTTCGGCCTAGAGACTTCGTCAGAAAACAAGGCACAAAGAAGTATAGCTAGTATCAGATCACAATTAAAATTTAAAATCTCTATTCCTCCTCACAACAGAACGGTCCCACAATTTTTTGTTCCCATTATTGACAGAATCTCCGCCAGTATTTGTTGATGATTTCTACGTCTTCGTTGAACAAAAACTTCTGGACAATCACAGCGTCAGTTACATAGAAGAGTACTTCTCACAGGTTTGTCAGTATGATTAGCTTGGCACAGCGTCAGTTACATAGAAGAGTACTTCTCACAGGTTTGTCAGTATGATTAGCTCGGCACAGCGTCAGTTACATAGAAGAGTACTTCTCACAGGTTTTATAGTATATATATATTTTTATTTTTATTTTACTCCTAGGTGACTACCTTACAATAGAAATTTACTATATTGGGTAACACATTTCCGCAACTTTCGATACTAGTACCTGGGAAATCATCTACTTTCACAACTTTCGATACTAGTTCGTAACAAATAAACTACTTCCACATCTTGCGAAACTACTTCGTTACAGATAAACTACTTCCACAATTTTCGATACGAGTACGCTACAAATAAAACAACTTTCACAACTTGCGATACTGGTACGCTACATATCAACTACTTCCACAACTTGCGATACAAGAACGTCGTAAAATAGCATGGATCCAAGCACTTTAAAATTATTCAATCAATCAATCAACATCTACCACAACTTGTGTAGTACGTTACATATCAACTACTTCCACAACTTGAGATATTAGTACGTTACCACGCTGATATGAATATTTTTTTTCCAGCACTCTGGTTTAGTCCACGCTTCACTGAATTCTCAAGACGATTCGATCAACTACTGGGTGGACACTAATCACGATGAGATTATCATAGTCCCACAAGGACAGCGTAAGTCGGACACGGTGGGTGGACACTGAGCACGATGAGATTATCATAGTCCCATAAGGATAGCGTAAGTCGGACTCTGATCATAATGACCAGTGGCTGGTGTAGGTCTGTCTTGGTTATGTTGTCACAATCAGTCCTTGTGACCAATGTAAATATGACGTGTTAGAGGTCACTAACCTAATGGTCAGCTTGTAAATCTGACGATGATAGGTGGATCTTACATGTCAGTGTAAGTCAATCTGACGTTGATGGTGGATCTTACTTGCAAATGAAGCAAACATGACGTGACATGTGTAAATTTAAACACGCAGTCAAAAGATCATCGCAGGCAATCAGAAATATTTAGATTAGCTATCGTTTTAATTAATTTTTTAAAAAGAAAACTAATACAAATAAATATCTATTATATCTGGTGTATTGTCTTCAGATCTCTATTTATATTTGGTGTAGTGTGTACAATATCTATTTCTATTTGTGGAGTGTGTACAGATTTCTATTTCTATTTGGTGTAGTGTGTACAGATATTTATTTTTATTTGGTGTAGTGTGTATAGATATCTATTTCTATTTGGTGTATCGTGTACAGATCCCTATTTCTACTTGTTGTAGTGAGTACATATCTCTATTTCTATTTGTGTTAGCGTGTACAGATCTCAATTTCTATTTGGCTTAGTGTGTACAGATCTCTATTTCTACTTGGTGTAGTGTGTGCATATCTCTATCTCTATTTGGCGTGGTGTGTACAGATGTCTATTTCTTTTTGGTGTAGTGTGTGCAGATCTCTATTTCTATTTGGCTTAGTGTGTACATATCTCTATTTCTACATGGTGTAGTGTTTACATATCTCTATCTCTATTTGGCGCGGTGTGTACAGATGTCTATTTCTACTTGGTGTAGTGTGTGCAGATCTCTATCTCTATTTGGTGTAGTGTGTACAGACAAGACGTACGACTTCGTGGGGACGGACCAGTACACCATGATTGGCGTGACCATAGGACCACACGATTCTCTTGACCTCAACTCACCGGAGGGTAAATTTCAGTTTGGATTTACCTGGTACAACTTCAAAGTCCTTCGTGGTTTATTTTCAGTCAGTTGACACTTTAAAGGGCGTTCTTACATGCTTCGTGCTTATTTATTTTTCTTAAAAACTAAATTTTATAATAACTAGCTGTCAGGCAATTTTATTTATAAATGATTTTAAGGAGCAACGCTTGGAGAAACTGCGTATTTACTCAACTCGTGTATGATTTTTAAGTCCAAGGGAAGTTACTCGAATATAAAAACAACAGTGCATCCCTTTTACTTAAATAAATTAAATTGAAATCTACTAGTTTAAATAAAATTAGCTTAATAAATTTCTGGATCAGTAAATTAAGTATTCTAGTTCTAGGCCTTTTCACAAATACATTTTTAAAGTCGTTTAAATACAGCTGCCTGCAACATTGACATCTTCTAGGACTCCAGGAGATGGAGAAGTAGGTTAAAAGGGGGGGGGGGGGGGGGGGAGGAAATAAAAAATGTGTCAAGTTGAATCCAAAAAGGGAGTTGGCAATAGTTTGTTTGCTGAGTTGAAGACTTATTCTTTTAAGTGGTTGTGATGTGTGCTGTCTAAAACTTTAAACATTAAGTTGCTTAAAAAAAACTTTTTTTTTTTTTTTAAAATTATTATTGCTCAACGTTCACAGCATTCTTTCACTGGGGTGCTCAGGGCAGAGAGAACATCTCATACAAAGGTCCAGACGTATCTCGAGGTAAGGTGCATGGGGGTCTGGCATGTGCACAGGTAATGGTCGAACTTCCTATTCTCCGCGATGTTCAGGATGATGCGTTCGCCCAAGATCGTATCAACGCCTGCGCCGCACTGAATCAAACTGCACTTTCAATTTCTTCATCAACTTTTTTAACAAAAAAATAATATTTCTTTTAGTTTTTTATGTTCACCGTATGTTCCCCCAGCTACCTTAACAATGACAAAATAATGACATTACCTAAAATTGTTATTTTCATAAACCCTACACCATTCCGTACGTGCCTACACCTCTGTGTTGCCTAACTTAATACCTTGATTAATTATTATTATCATTACTATTATAATTCAGTTAAATTGTAACGAAACATAACTTTTTAAATTTTAGTTTGCTTCCTTACGTAAATATAAAAATCGTATTCGGAAACATTATTTTAAATTTATTGCTTTCAAAAATACCAACATTTAAAAACGAAAGTCTTGCATGGCTCAGGTATCGCTACGATCAAATGGTGGACCTGTGAATATGACGAATACAGAGATGCAACAACCTTCACCGAGTGGCAAATAGTTGGTACGATATGAAAGATTGTATTTCTTTTAGTCTTATCATTAGCGAGTCATAAGGCATGTTTATGTCCTCGCATTGTTAGCCAGTCAGATGATGTTTTTAAAATGCTTATATTGATAATTTTTCATTTACTTTCTTTAAATGTATCCCCTTTCAAAATCAAACTGTAGTGATTATGAGCACATTTTTTTTAAACATCTGCCATTATAATTAAATGAATAAATATCCAAATTCGTTGCCCACAGTTTAAGATACGCATATGATATTTTAGATGTTTTACTGTAGATCCCACCAAGTACAGGATGCCAGCCATCGACAGCGGTGAGAGGACCAATCCAGTGCTGCCCATCAGTGCTGTCGTCACAGGGGTGGCCAACCACTTCCAGGGGAATCAGACCTACTTTAACTACAGGTACACAAACAGGATTTGTCAGATTGAGCTTTTGGGGGAAATTTTGTATTCTTCCCAGTAGATTAAGAAAAACAAAATTTTCTTACACTACTTAAATGACAAAAATGATTTTAATCGACTGTTCTTTAGACAACTGTCATTTTCAGTTGAAAAAATGTAATGCTAAGATTTCCCATTTGTACAATGTATCAAAATGTGGGGAGCTATCGTTCAGTTATTATATTCAGTATCTATATATTCAGTTACTATAATCAGTTACTATATTCAGTAACTATATTCTGTTACTATATTATGTTACTATATTCAGTTACTATATTCAGTTACTATATTTAGTTACTATATTCTGTTATTATATTCAGTTACTATATTCAGTTATTATATTCTGATACTATATTCACTTACTATATTCAGTTACTATATTCAGTTACTATATTCAGTTATATTAGTCAGTTAGCTTATTCATTTACTATATTCAGGTATGACTTCGCATCTTTCAAACGGATTCAACCTGATGATGACAATTTCCGGGTAAATAGTTTTTGTAGGGGGGTAGGGTTTGGGGAAGGAGGACTTAATTAAAGCGTTTGTGGTCGGGTGCTAAATATTTTTAACGTGAATTCCAAATTTTTCTGAGAAATCTTATGGATCAGAATATTAATTTAAACGGTGTTGAGTTTAAATAACAGCTAGAAGGGAAGCTTTCTAAACAAATAAACTGCAATTCCTAACCCATTGCATATAAGCCTATGTTAAATGGAAAGAAACACATTTTTTTTAAAAAAAGTGTTATGCCTCTACATACGTGTAGAAACACATTGCAATTTCCCCCACTTCATTACCCTCTATGCCCACATGATAATCATATTTTACATACCCAACATGTTAATTACCATAAAGGCACTACAATGATCGTTTTTTTCATAAAGAAGTTACCGATGTGTATTGATTTAAATAAAGCGTTTAAATGCACGAAGCAAACAATCCAACTAAAGAAGGCAAGTGCTTCAACAAAACAAACAACAACAAAAAACTGCTATATTTAAAAATATGTTCTTACGATAATTTTTTTCTTTCTTAGAGTTCATCTGATATCGTGTCAAAACATAGCTTAATTAGCACAGTTTGAATAAACTCCGACTACTGCTTAATTTTATTTAATGAAGGTTTAATTACTTTGCCATTTAAACAGAAACTATTGAACTATTCACTCACATGTGTTTATCCTGTGTTCTAAACCACACCAGATTCCAGCCAACACTCTGTGTCTGGTGAAGCCCCAGCTGGACACTCCACTTCCGTCCATGCCAGGTTATTTCAAATTTCGCGGAGAACAAGTTGTCCAGGTCTCTACTGAGTCCCAGACGCCAAACCCGGCGGATATGACGTTGACTGTAGTATGTACTCTCTAAATAGCTTTTAAAAAAACAATTAAAATGAAAGTGGAGAACGATTTTTAATTGAAGCACTGCTACAGTGGCAGATAACTTTTGGGAGATAATTAACTTATTATGTTTGAAAATATCTCGTTCTTGGTCTGTGTATGTCATACAGGTTAATAGCAAACATTTAAAAGACGAATTTCATTATCAAAACAGCATTTTTTATTTGACAACCTCTTTTTTTTTTTTTTTTTAACTTCATGAAATGGCAATTTTTTTAAATTCTTTAGGTTGTTTGGCTTTGTAGGGATTACATTTCCTCGCTTAGAAACAATGACGGTGCATAAAAAAAGTCTGAAATGAAATTTCTTTATCAAAACAGCCTTTTTTTTTTGTCTTCCTTTTTTTTTTTTTTTTTTTAACTTCATGAAATGGCAATTTTTTTAAATTCTTTAGGTTGATTGGCTTTGTAGGGATTACATTTCCTCGCTTAGAAACAATGACGGTGCATAAAAAAAGTCTGAAATGAATTTCAAGATTTTTAAAGATTACAAACTCAAATTTACATATTCTTAAAACAGTTCAATTTTCAGAATTAGGGAAGAAGTAACATTTACTATTTATCCTGCAACAGCTTCAATAAATAAAAAAAAAAAACAACATCTAAGCCGTATGTAGGGCCGGCACTGGCCTTTTGTACAAAAGTTTGGTTCTTAAAACACTCCTCCTTATTCGCAATGTTCTGGCCTTTTTAATGATTTTTTGAAAACGACAAAGTAAAAAAAAAAATTTTTTTTTTTTAAATTCGTTTACTCCTATTATTATCTTTTTGCTCCTGTGTAACAAACGTTCAGCCCCCTTTAAATTTCCAAGGCCTTCCGAGGACCCGCAGTGTTGCAGGACTCACGCGACGGTTTCTGATTATATCAGAATTGTTTCTGGCATAGAATAGTTTAGAGTGAAAGGTTTAGGGCATAAATTAATTTAGACGGAAATGTTCAGGCACGGAGTAAGTTAGACGGAAATGTTTAGGGCATAGAAAAAAAATTAGACGGAAATGTTCATGCATATTTTTACATTGACACGGAAATGTTTAGGGGATAGAATAGTTTAGACGTAAATTTTAGGGCATAAAATAATTCATACGGCAATGTTCAGGCATAGAATAATTCAGACGGAAATGTTCAGGCATAGATAAATTCAGACGGAAATGTTTAGGGCACAGAATAATTTAGACGGAAATGTTTATGCATAGAAAAATTTAGACTTAAAATGTTAAGGCTTAGACTCCTTTTGACCAAAAAAAATTATGCATCTTTTTGTTGTTCTTTGCAACCATCTCTGATCGACAGGAAGAATACAAGAAAGATATCGGATTGTATATCCAGGATGTCATCTCAACGCCAGTCACTGTTAGCGCTGACAACGACAAGTCTTTCATCAAACGCGTGGATGATTTTAACACAGGTCGGTACGAGGCTGCGCGTGCCAGAGTATGTGTTCGCGTGAGTTATTCCCCCCCTCCCCACCCCCCCTCATCGTGTTTTTTAACAACCCGGTAGCATTAGTTAAAATTTAGATAAAACAGTATTCGTTCACCGTGTTTCTTAACATGTTAAAATTCCCTACAACACAACGGATGACCATCATCAGGTCTGACCTATGAGCTGGACTTGGAGTCCGGCGAGTGCCAGGTCAAGGTCATCGATGGGAACTCGGTCGATGCCATCAACATGGGCAACGGCGTGGTTCAGATGAAAAATTCTGATGATTTCTTTGATCTCGATCCCATGTCCTACCAATTCATGGGCCTGGTAAGTTTTTTTCTTTTTCTTTTTTTTTTTTTTTTTTAATTTTTTTTTTAGAAAAAAATCTTGGATAGCACTTAACTTTATCTAAAATTTATAAATCATGGCAATTTTTTTTGTTTTTTTAAAAATTTTTTTTTTTTAAAGTAAGTTTTTTTCTTTTTCTTTTTTTTTTTTTTTTTAATATTTGTTTTAGAAAAAAATCCTGGATAGCACTTAACTTCATCTAAAAGTCATAAATCATGGCAATATTTTATGTTGTCTTAAAAACTTTTTTTTTTTAAAAAAGACTGACGATGTCTGGTAAAACACAATGTATTCCGCCAATAGAAAAAGAATAACCAGAATCGAAATTTATGATTTGAAAACTGTTGCATCATTTAGAGTTCTTTTGGACTAAATTTTCAACAAGAGAACAGATCTTTTTTTTTTTATTTTTTAAATTTCGGTTTATTTTCAACGCCTTGATCTGTGTCTTCTGGCCAGCACGAGCATCGCGGAATCATGTGTAAAGTTTGGACCGCATTCTTTGGTCCTGACCAGACGTCACGTCCAAGATACTCTCTCTTCTCCTGGTATTTCGCTGATGTACGCCTTTCGTGCTTATAAAAATTTTAATCACCAACACAATGTAACGGGTTTTCATCAAGTTATTTTGAGTAACACCGCTAAATTTTGATATAATATCAGTATTTTACTTTTATATAAAAAAAAAACACGAAAAAATCTATTTAAAAATGCTAAGTTTAATATAAATTTATTTAAGTGTTAATGATAGTAAATTTCAAATAATTTTTAAACAGAATTATTACCGAATTTTTTCAAAAAAGTCGCTCTTGAAGCTAAAATAAAATTACGTGAGTAATTCACGTTGCTACACAAATAGATAGCGAAGAAAAAACGTTAAAATTAAATATTTATTAATTTTTCGCCTTGTAAAGTTAAAGAAAGTTTTTTTGGGGGGTTTTTTTTTAGAGAGTTTTAAAATAGTTTTCTTTCAAATGTCTACAGCAAGACTGGATGACGTCGAATGGCTTCAGGTCCCCAACCGTCATGCCCGTAGCTCTAGAAGTGACCGTAGGAGATGTAAGTGTTGTGTACCTCACTTAGTAACTTCTGTCTTCATCCTTTGAGTTAAAAAATAATTATTAAGTTAGTTGTGGTAACTTTGATACATCTGCTTATTAACTAACAACTTTTTATGACACATTGACGTATGCAACAAAAAATTATGATTTCAGTTTTTCGGCTATTCAAAAGTCAGTTTGTCAAACTTTTGCCAAGCTCGACCGTGTAGACTTTTTAAGAACACAAAAAAAAAACGAAACCTTGAAATATCAGTTGCCCTACCCCAGGTCCCCCAAAAGGCACACCTGATACTATCAAGCCTTATTTTGCAACTAGCTAGCCTTGCGTTGCAACTGGCTAGGCTAATGTTGCAACTAGATAGGCTTATGTCGACACTAGCTAGGCTTATGTTGCAACTAGCTAGCCTCATGGATGCGGCTGGCCAGGCTTATTTACAACTGGCTAGGCTTATTTGCAACCAGCTAGGCGTATGTTGCAACTATCTTGGCTTATGTTTCATCTAGCTAGGCTTATGTTGCAATTAGCTAGGCTTATGTTGCAAATAGCTAGGCTTATGTTGCAACTAGGTAGGCTTCACGTTGCACGTGTGAAAATGCTTATGTCGAGTCTCTATGATTTAATTCTTTTGTTTCTAAACTACTGAGTTGATTTACGTCGTCAATTCTTTTCCCCAGAAATACACTCAGTTTAATATATTCGAGTGGGCCACAGATGAACAGGAAGATCATCTGGATCTGTCCACCTGTTTCGACCCGAAGAGTACCATGAACATAGAGGTTCATTTTAATGGTAAGATTGTAGAAGAGCACCATGGACATACAGGCTCGATGTGATAGTTAGCTTTTACCCACTAAACATATTTATTTTTGATGTACTGTTTCAATTTTCTTAATTTGAAAAGTTTTATAAATTTCATAAATGCCTTCAGTAACGTAACATTCAAAAAACTGGCTTCAGGTCTGTGACATTCAACCGATACGTTCTTAGCGAAGCTTTCATGAGGCACCATCTTCCCCCAAAATATCTATGATTGACATATTTTAACTTTAGTATCAAGATTTTTTTTGCGCCCCTTGAATAAGGCGCCTAGGGCAGGTGTCTCTTCACCCATCCCCCCCCCTCTCACTCACTCACCTCCTACACACGACCTTGACAGAATAAATAGTAAGACATCACAAAGAACAGACTCAAAACGATCAGCAGTAGAATAGAATAAAAATCCTGTTTACAAATCAACACTAACTTCACATCTTTGTTTTGTTTTTTTTGGTTCCTCAGCGCGTTACGACCAGTTCTACACACCAGCTAAGCTTGGATTCCGTAAGGGCCTCACGCAGAGTCTGTTTAAGTTCACCAATCTGAAGTCAACTCTGAGAATAGCTGATCTTGATGTGAGATGGTGGAGAACAAAAAAATTATTTTATTTCTAAAAAAATTAATTTTGCTGATAAATTGTAGAGGTCCAAAAATTGAGGGTTGAATAATAATAATAACTAAATTACAGGTAACTGCAAATAAATATCAATCAATAGAAGAGATTGCTCAGTGCTGCGATTAAATCCTTTAAATTTTCAATTGATTCATCTGATCCATTTGAAATATTTTCACTCTCAAGTCTTCCGAAGCTCTCCGTGCCATCTCTTTCTAGCGAGTGGCATCCACTGTCAAGTGTTTTACAAGAAAAATACAGATGGTTATCATCCACTGTATCCTGGTCTTACTTCCAGTGGTCTGGGCTAACTCTTGCTATTGGAAAATTTAGTCAAGGACGAGAGTGCTGGGTGGCCGAGAGGTCTAAACGGTCTCAAACCAAACAGCTGGTGGTCTGGAGTTCAATCCCCACCAAAGCAAATCATCCCAAGCACCCCGGGTAGATGGGACTCGTTAGCCTTGGACGACAACCCATCTAAGAGAAGGCAAACTCTGAATTTAAACCAGGAGCCAGAATGATCAACAAATTGATCGTGGGCCCCTCAAATATAAGAAGAAGTGCGGATGAAGAATTTGAGCAACTCTCCCTCAGGCCACGGCAAGGAATACTACTAAAGTCGAAGCCTTGGTCATAACCGCATGAGGTGGAAGGAAAATATAAACAATGGTCTTAACCCCTTCCCTTGATTGTATATCTGTGATGAATTAGTCCTTACCCCGACCCCACCTCCCCCCCCCCAAACCCACCCGCCGCCCAAACCACAAACAGAAAGACAAGATCAAGTTTGAATAGAAGTGACTTTAAAAAAAATAACTTCCAAAAGGTGTTCCCCCATAATCTCACACTTGACCCTAGAGCATGAGCTTAACTGAGAGTGAGAAATGTTTCTTTTAAAGTTAAGATATGGAATAAATGGAGAGAGCATGTCAATCCGGTGGTGACAGATTGAAGAAGCTTCAGATCTGGACGACGAGGTTAGACAAGCTGAGCTAAGAATATCATTACTGCAGTGGGATTGTCATCATCCACAACTAAATTATACCTTTTCTTTTTTTTTTTTTTGTTTCGTTAAAATTTCATTACACTAATTAAATAATTCAGTGATTTTTTTTTTTTTTTTTTTTTTAAATTTCTTTTTCCTAATTAAATATTTATGTGAATTTTTTTTTTTTTTTTTTTTTTTTTTTTTTTGTTTCGTTAAAATTTCATTACACTAATTAAATAATTCAGTGATTTTTTTTTTTTTGTTTCGTTAAAATTTCATTACACTAATTAAATAATTCAGTGAATTTTTTTTATTTTTTTTTTGTTTGTTTCGTTCAAATTTCATTACACTAATTAGATAATTCAGTGAAATTTTTTTTTTTTTTTTTTTTTCAAATTTCATTACACTAATTAAATAATTCTGTGAATTTTTTTTTTTTTTTTTATTTTTTTTTTTTTGTTTTGTTAAAATTTCATTACACTAATTAAATAATTCAGTGAATTTTTTTTTTTTTTTGTAAATTTTAAACTGAGCTTAGTTCCCGTGCAGGTCCAGCCAGGGGATGGCAATATCATCGTGGCCAGATTCAAGCTTCTCGACAAGCTGAACATCACCGGCGACGTGGTCAACATCACAAAGCCGGTCCCGAGTGCGGTTATTCACCAACAGATGGTGACGTCGGTCAACGCCGGGTCCTTCTCTGTTAACCTGGGAGGAAAGGTTAAAACATAACTGATGAATCAACTTCTGATAGACGCGTAACTAGTGAAGCCTGAGTCCCCCGCTGTGTTGAAATGTTGTTGTCAAAGAGAGAGAGAGAGAGAAAATGTTTGATGATCAAAGAGATAGAGACAATTTTTGATGATTAAAAAGATACAGAATATGTTTGATGATCAAAAAGATAGAGAATATTTTTGATGATCAAAGAGATATAGAAAGTTTTTGATGATTATTACAACTCGGACCTAGTGTAACTTTCTCTAAAAGTTTTTTTTATGAGTGCTACAGCTTGGACCTGGTGTAACGTTTATTTAAAACAGACCTGCACAACTCAAAATGTAAGGGGGGCCGTAATGCATTATGAAAAACTTGTGCGGGCACAAATAATATAGGTCAGGGGGGAAAGCTATTAAGAAAATAATAAGAATAAAGCGTTTTTCATTAACTCGCGGGCCACAAAGTGGGTGCTGGCGGGCCACATGCGGCCCGCGGGCCGTATGTTGTGCAGGCCTGATTTAAAAGAATGGTGATATATTTTACAACATGAACCTTGTCTAACTTTGGCTAAGGGAATCTTTTGTTAAATTATTTAATGAATGTTACAACTTGGACCTGGTGTAATGCTCGTCAAAAGTTCGTTTAGAATGTTACAACTTGGACCAAGTGAAGCGTTCATTAAAAAGTTTTTCTTTTAGAATGTTACAACTCAGACCTGGTGCAGCGTTCGTTGAAACTGTTGTTTTTTAGAATGTTACAACTTGGTGTATAGCTTTTCAGCTCCTTCCATTTGTTTTCCCATCTGATAGGAAAAATCCGTGATCTACGCCAAACGTAATTCTGTAACTGTGGTCACACCATCCCGGTACGTGACCAGTGGCCAAGGCTATTCACCTGGTAGGTGTGCTGCTTATCATTTTTTTTTTTTTTAATTTTGCATTAAATCAACACGGAGGCTGTGGAGCAGATACAGATTGAGAGAAGATAAACCTGCAACAAAAGTGACTCCACTCCCAACCCCACTGATGGATTAAAATACCCATAAGAATCGTTCATAAAAGAATGTACTTGAACATCTTGTCACAAAACATTACCAGGAGCTCTGGGCTCAACATATTAATTTGAAATAGTCTTGAAATATATTTTTATTTAATTTTTTTTCCGTTACATATTTAGAGCTTCAGAATTTGTGTACGAACATTTTATTTGGATAGAGTTGGCAATACTGCTTATAACGCAAGATGAGTTGCATTGATGAATCGGTTGATTTTTTAAAACTGTTTTAAAAAAATTGATTTTTATTTTTGTTGTTGTTGTTATCTGCATTTTATAATTATCTACGTATGCTATTATTTGTTCCGACCCTGCTTATTACTTGTAAACAATGTTATTTAACAGAGATTGTATCATCAGCCGCTGTTCACTCTGTCCCCCCAGGTGTCATGGCCGGCGTGGGTATCGGCACCCTGGTCGCCGGCCTGCTGATTGGGGCCGTGCTGGTCCTCAGTTTGAAAAAGCTTCGAATCATCGGGAATAAGGAAGACGTGCCCTTAACCCAACTCAACCCTGCTGAAACTTAAACTGACCGACCATGAGCACGTCAACACACACTTTTGTATTAGTCAATGAAATCTCCTGCGCCCCGGTTTCCGCTGTGACTTTAATGTTGCGGTATTTTGTCTTAACGTCGACTGAAGGTGTTACCCAGTAAAAAAAAACATAAATTAAAATGTAAATAGCGTGCTTCTGTTAACGACGCATGCATGCCTTGTAAAAACGCATTGTCAATAAATGATACATTACTTTTGAATAAAATGATGTAGATGAATTCATCTTCTTGTTGAGAAATAATGATTTTTTTTTTGTCCTTTATATTAACATCATTTTTGTTCGTGGCTGACTGGCAACAATCTTTGGTCGGCTAATTGACCCACTTCCCGTCTACATATTGAGCTAAATCTTGGCACATGGTCTTGTTGCCGATGACAACATATTATAATATTCTTCCAAATTTTCATCATCCCATCCCCAATAATCAATTTTGTGCCTTTTTTTTTTAAACCGAATTACTTGCGTCAAATTTTCAGCCCTGAATCACACCCCCCCCCCCATTGCTCGATTTAACATTTTATAAAAGATTTATGCAAAAAAAAAAAAGATTTTTTAGGGTTTGCTTAATTTTATTTTACAAAATCTTCGTATAATGCTTTATCCTTTACAAAGAAATGGCAAGTAACGTGTAAGTAACCTTTAAATTTGTCTCTAATTTCTTCTATTTTTATGTTGAAAAGAAAACAACAAAAAAAAACATTGTACTGTTCGCAAACGAGAAGCCTCTAGAAATACTAATTTCACCCGTACCGTAATTGTGTGTTGTACCATGGTCTAACACGCATTCATTAACACACTCTGTTCGTTATACACACCCCCCAAAACACATACACACACACACACACACACACCTCACAATGTGGCACAGACACGGCATATTCTGCAGATCGATCGATCGATTGATGAATGTTAAAGATTACTGTCCTCTGCTGAACAACCAAAAGTGACACACACACACACACACAAAAGTCTATCTCGAGATAATTAGGTCAAATTTCGCTGTTAAATTTTTCTAATCAGGCATGCATCCGCCCCCTGACATGTCTCTTGGATACAATCTGTGAAATGCTAACGAACCTGGCCCGACAACGTGGAGGCCTTAAATAATGAAACGCTTACAGAACGTGATTCATTTCAGAACAACAAGAAACAGTCAAATTTTAAAGTCCAAATATTTGTGTGGTCCCACATGACGTCACAGTGAAGAGGGGTTGGGGGGGGGGGGGGTGAAGATGTTAATGAGAAAATTGGAGAGAGGTAAAGAATGTTATTTATCTCAAGGAGAGGGGGGAGGATGGGTTGGAGATTTCCTCTATTACGAATGAGTTATGTATAAAAAATAGACATAACTGGACCTCAAAGTTGATCTGACTTGAAACAATACATACAAATACGTCGTAAGCATAGCAAAACATAAATGATAGATGGTCATACTTCAAACATTCATAAATGCTAATACCTTTTTAAAAAAAAAAATGTTCAGTTCTCATTTGTGTCACTTGTTTACTCCTTTCATTTTGATGAAACGTGGTCAGTCCGTGCGCATGCAACACCACCTTAACTACCCGCATAACAAAATGGTTTATTCCAGAGATGAACCCCTTCTTCTCTTTCGCACCATTTTAGGGTGCGCACGGGCATCAAATCAACGCGGAAGTCTCACTGAGAAAATCTAATAAAAGTGATGGACATTTATTCTGGGCATCATGTTCCAGGCATCATGTTTCAGGGCCGGCGCTAGGAGGGTGCGGGCCCTTGGGCAAACTGAATTTTGCGGGGCCTTTGACGTTAGATATTCCGCCGATAGGATATTAATGATTTAGGATAGGATATTAAGACACGTTATAGTCGCACTGGGCCATGCTGGTCACAATGGGACGCGTCATAACAGATATTTGTTCACTCGCTTACTTAGTTTCCGAAATTTCAATTTTTTCCCATAACAGCTAATTGCCCTTGCCCAAATTACTCATCGCGGCTTAGTAGGCTTAGGTATACTACGGCAACGCGCGGAGCCCCGCATTGAACGTCCACTTCGCCACCCCCTAGCGCCGGCCCTGCTGCTTTACATAATTGTCAAGGTTTTCCTGATTTTCATTTTAACTTTGTTTTCTTATTGAAAATGTAAGGGTTGAAGGAAAGGGGATAAGAGCTGCGCGTTTTCTGTGCGTTGTATATTTTAAAGCCGCAATGCTCACATGTTGGCTAAGCTGGTGACGAATAAGGCTAACGGCAATGAAGAATAAGTAGACAAACAATATATAACTTTGTAGGAGAAGACTAAAGAGTGAGAAAGAGAGGAATTGGTTTTGATCAAGCGTGTTGGCTGTGAAGTAAATAGACCAAAACAGAAAGGCCACCACAACAACAGCGTGTCCATTCCTTACAACGTAATATTTACTGACGTCTATGTTGTTTAAAGTTGATGTCGCGATTTCACTGGCACGGAGACCTGGTAAATTTTCAAACATTGCCAGATAGAAGAGGAGGAATATGATACGTGTAGAGCTGAAGAGCTGCCAGACAGAAGAGGAGGATTATGATAAGTGTAGAGCTGAAGAGCTGCCAGACAGAAGAGGATGATTATTATAAGTGTAGAGCTGAAGAGCTGCCAGACAGAAGAGGAGGATTATGATAAGAACAGATCTAAAGAGAAAAAAAAACGTTGTGGCTTTATCGTACATACAGCCAATTGAGTAGGTGTCTTCCAGGGACGGACGCAAATGTTTTGTTGCCGAACTTTCGACGAAAAAGCCCTAAACTTTGAACGAAAATGGCACCCCCTCATTATCAGGAGAAATGTGCTACCCAGGACAGAACCCCCACCTCCCCTCTCCCCGTTTCCTGATTTCGTTCGTATACGCAGATTTTAAGCGATTGTCATCCTAAGATGAAAAGATTTCCTCATTGCCAGATTTTAAAAAAAACAAAACAACTAAATCTCATCAATCACAAAGCTATGACTTTTAATCATTTTTTGAACAACTGTTTCTTCGATAAGGTGTTCAATGACAGCAAACAGATACTTGAGATTTTTTTTTCCCTTCCCAATTTTTCTACGTCCGCTATCTGATGATGGCGCAGATAACCCTGTGCGTTCCTGACGCCCATCTCCATCGCACACCGAAGAGCCGTGTCATTCTGGTGGGTGTGCTTCCTGTCCAATGATCAACCATGGTGGTCTAACTCTCTAAAGTAGCTCTCACCGTATAATTCAAGCCTGCACGCCGATTTTGTGATAAGTTTTTTTGTTTGTTGGAGGATTTCCTGGAGGAGCCAAGTCAGCCCAGGAGATTAAAGGTGAGCTTGGGCATTTTTGATTGATTTGTTTACGCATCATTAAACATTGCTATGTCGTTTTTTGGGAGTCGGGAGTGTGGAGAGGAGGGGAGGGGGGGAGCATTGTAAAACAATGCAGTGACGCTCGCTTAGGAAGATGAAAAGGATTTTAGAAACAAAGATTATAGGTCAATCAAATACTCTCTTACTAGTAATCTTAAATTTCTCTCTATTTATATTCTTGAGAATAGTAATTTTACATTTAAATTTACATTTATTTAATACGATTTTCTTAAGAGTACGCACCACAGAATTACGTGAGAATCACGTTGATCTTATACTTACTTTTTTTACAACGTACCTTTGTTTCTCAACTATTGTCCCTAACATTACCACAAAGCTCTTCCAGTTCTTAAATTTGACCTACATTGATTTTTTTTATAGATTCTCTAAAACATACGTTTTACTATTTAAATTTTTAAATGATCTGTTGCTTATTATTGCTATCGTCTGCTGCAGAAGGCATCTTGCCAAAACGCCAATTTAGTTGTCGTGTCTTTGTCTCCTCAAGCCGAAACATATCTTGTTACTATTTATTTACCAGTGAACAGCCTTTTGTTGTACAATCGACATACTTGATGGAAATTACCTTTGTTTTAGATTCTTTGACATACTGATGGTGCTACCTTCAAATTGTCATGACTGGTGGTACCACTTTTTTTTAGTGTAATATCTCACCAAACAAAAATAAATGTATCGAAAACGGTAAGGGTGAAGCAATAATATACAACCCATCGCCAACTTACTTTCTCGTACAAATCTTCTTTTAATATCTAAATTATTTCACGTTATCAAGATGTGTTTTGCAAGATTATAAAATGGAGGAGTACAATAAATTTATTTTAAAAAAACATCACCAATAGCAATTGAAAGATTTTTTTTTAATTGTAAATTTTTAACGAAATTTTTTTTAAAAATTTATTAAATTTTTGCTTTGAAACATCGTATATACTGCCATTAATTGAAGGGTGAGTAGAGGGGCACTTTTAAAAGCTTCTTGTTCATGATAAGATCGACTCGTTTGAGAACCGCCGTCTAACTTCATGAACCATATCTCAATAAACATGGTGGTGCCAGTTATGAAAATGTGTCGCTTGCGAAGAAAATGTGTTACACTTTTTTTTTTGACAATTTTATTCATCTAATCATTATGTGTTTTAATCTAGTTTATTTCTTTTAAAAATTATTTTCATTACAAAAAATATATTTCTGTAGATAATTTTTTAGTTGGGGGGTGATATTGTCTCAATTAATTAGAATTATGCAGTTGGAAAAAAAAATGGATGTAAATGTTAGGATACCTAGGGAGAGCTTGGTGTGCTTGAGGCATGGGCCTCCACAGAAGGCGGGTCTTCAGAGACATTCACTATTGCTGATGTTCTGGGTTGTTTTGTTTTTTTGGTCCTTTGTATGCGAAGATGACCAAGGCTATATTCGACGGTGCATACGCATAAGCTATGAGTCCTATTTTCCGATTGGAAATCATATCCTCGTGCTGGACACAAGACAGTGAATTTAATTGATGTGCTATTTCTTGGCACGGTGTGTTAACTCTCTGAAGATTGTAATTCCAAATGTGAAGTATATCTTACCTGGGTGCTAAGGTATGTTGAAGGGCGGGTGAGTCCGCACAGGGAGGGTTGATACCGAGAGGAGGGGACAACAAGGTCCATGGTTACAAGGAGGAATGGCTACAGGGGAGGTCGACTACAAGAAGGGTTGTCTACAGCTAGTGGTGGCTACAGCGAGTGTGGCTACAGCGAGTGTGGCTACATCGAGGATGGCTACAGCGAGTGGTGGCTACAGCGAGTGTGGCTATAAAGAGGAGTTGCTGCAGTGTGGAGTGGTTACAGGGAGG